GGTATATTAAGTTTGTCATTCCGTTTGTAACACCTCGAAATATACATTTTAGACCCCACAAAGTATATATATTCTTGATCAGCATAAAATTCTATGTCCATTTAGCGATATCCGCCCGTCCATCCCGTCTGTAGAAATCACTCTTGCTTCCGAACGAGTTGAAGTAGATTGATAAAATTTTACTTAAATGTATATTATGTCTGCAGGACTTTTGGTATTGAAAATGGGCCATGTAGGTCCACGTTTTGTTATAACCCCCAAATAACGTTATCTCCCGATATTCGGTATTTTTGTGATTTAAGCGGCATTATTTACCGGAAATGTTTCAAATTTAGTATTTAAAGTTCGTTATCGATACTACAGCCTAAAACAAAAAATTGTCTGTGCTGGTCCACGTCTTCCTATAGCCGCCATATAACGGTACCTCCCAATATTCGATATTTTCGTGATTTTAGCGACATTAATCACCGGAATTGTTTCAAATTTGGTATTTGGAGTTCGTAATGGACGCTACAGCCTATGACAGGAGATTGTCTGTGCAAGTCCACGTCTTCGTATAGCCCTCATGTACTAGTACCTCCCGATATTTGGTATTTTGATGATTTTAGCGACATTATTCACCGGAATTGTTTTAAATTTGGCATTTGAAGTTCGTAATGGATACTTCAGCCTAAGACAGAAAATTGTCTGTGCAGGTCCATGTCTTCCTATAGGCCCCATACAACGGTTCCTCCGGATATTCGGTATGTTGAAGATTTTAGCGACATTATTCACCAGAATTGTTTCAAATTTGGTATTTGAAGTTCGTAATGGATACTACAGTCTAAGACAGAAAATTGTCTGTGCAGGTCCACGTCTTCGTATAGCCCCCATATAACGGTACCTCCCGATATTTGGTATTTTGATGATTTTAGCGACATTATTCACCGGAATTGTTTCAAATTTGGTATTTGAGGTTCGTAATACAGCCTATGAGAGAAAATTGTCTATACAGGTTCACGTCTTCGTATAGCCCCCATATATCGGTACCTCCCGATATTCGGTATTTTGATGATTTTAGCGACATTATTCACCGGAATTGTTTCAAATTTGGTATTTGAAGTTCATAATGGATACTACAGCCTATGACAGAAAATTGTCTATGCAGGTCCACGTCTTCGTATAGTCTCTTATAATGGTAACTCCCTATTTTCGGTATAAAAACCGGATACCAGTACCGTTGGACTATTGTGTCTGGAGTATTTTGGAAAGCAAGGTTGCAACTAAAAAATACCAAAGTGTCGATCACCTCAAGCAAGCGCTTCGCCGAGAATGGGCCAAAATATCGCAGAGCAACATTCGGGCAGCGTGTGACGGTTTCATTTGCCGTTTGAAGGCCATAATTCGTGCCAAAGCTGATCAATTCGAACAAATCAAAACGTATTCTAAATTTTGATGCTATTTCCAACATTTGTTGCTTTCATTCAAGAAAATTAAAAAAATCTAAAAATAATGGCGTTTGACTTTGTTGTAGTTTTTTATCTCATCCTGTATACACTTTGTTATGTCTAAAATTATTATTTCGATAAATTGAAAACGGAATGACGAATTTAATATATCCTCCATACTATGAATGTTGAAGGGTATAAAGAAATGTACACAAATCTTTTGCCCAAAAAAAAAATAAATTTAAATGTTTCTCCAAATTTTTATTTCCCATCCCTGTCATTGAATTGGAAAAATGAAAAAACACTTTTTTTTTTTTGTGGCTTAGCTTTGCTTGAACAACAATTGATACTATCTTTTTCAGTGCAATTTTTTTTGTTTTGTTTTGTTTTCATTTTCAATTTAATTGGTCAAATATTTATTTGAGCATTTAATAACATTTACTTTGAAATTCATCATCATTTTCGTTTCGTTTTTTCGTTCATTTTGGTGTTTACATTGGGTCTATTTACGACGTACGACGTACGGCGGCGCCGGTGGACGACTATGGCATGCTTTATTTGCAATCAAATGTTAATTAAACTAAACCGCCACACAAAGCCTCCTTCGCCTTTACCTTTACTTTCTGTATCACCATCCACTCACCCGGTGGGATTAGTATTTTTTTTTTTTTTTTTTTTTTTTTTTTGTTATCTTTGGGGTAATATTTTTCTAAAAAAAAAAAAATATTTTAAAAAATAAAATATTCAAACAAAATTTATTGGTTAAATAAACCTATTCTTTGGGCGCTAAATTTTGTTTAAATAGTTTTTTTTTTTTCATATATTTTGCCGCCCAATAGAGAAGTCACCTCTGTTTGTCATGGCTTGCCGCCTTGTGTTGGTCCAAAAGACTTTTTGAACCTTATCAGCATTAAGGGTTATCACCTGTTTCCTACTTGCCAAAAAAAAAGTATAAACATTTATTTTCATGCCAATATTATATGATTTTCCATGAAATCCCTTATTGGAATGATTTCACATTAATTGCAATAAGTCACAGTTGCTTTCAACGCTGTTATAATGTAAATGTGAAAATATTGTTTATTATAATTCCGCCTCTTATCAAATATGTGTAAAAAACAAACAACAGATAATAAATATGCACTTGCCGCGAACAAATGACAAATTGTACAAGTCCATAAATATCAGAGTCAAATGAAAACAGACTAAGTTTGAAAATAAATTTAAAACAACTGAAAAAGGTGTAAGTTCGGCCTTGTCGATCTTTGAATCGCTACATCATTTGGAACGATTTTGGCATTTAAAAAAAAAATCAAAAAAAAATAAAATCCGTTAAAAATTCTGTTAAATTTTTAAAAATACCGTATAAAGCCGTTATATTAGAGTCTATACGATGACGGGGATATTTAAAAGCGAAACTTGAATAAAAAAATTCGGTGAATAATGTCACTAACATCATCAAAATACCGAATATCGGGAGGTATCTTTATAAGGGGGCTGTACGAAGACGTGGACCTGCACCGACAATTTTCGGTCTCATACTGTACTGTCCATTACGAACTTCAAATACCAAATTTGAAAGAATTCCGGTGAAAAATATCGCTAAAATCATCAAAATACCGAATATCGGGAGGTATCGTTATATAGGGGCTATACGAAGACGTAGACCTGCACAGACATTTTTCTGTCTTATGCTGTAGTATTCATTACGAACTTCAAATACCAAATTTGAAACAATTCCGGTGAATAATGTCGCTAAAATCATCAAAATATCGAATATGGGGAGGTACCCTTATATGGGGGGTAGACGACGACGTAAGTGGACCTGCACAAACAATTTTCTGCTTAGGCTGTAGTATTTATTATGAACTTCAACTACCAAATTTAAAACAATTCCGGTGAATAATGTGGCTAAAATCATCAAAATACCGAATATCGGGAGGTACCGTTATATGGGGGCTATACGAAGACGTGGACCTACATGACCCATTTTCAATACTAAAAGTCCTGCAGACAAAATACAGATTTGAGTAAAATTTTATCAATCTACTTCATTTCGTTCAGAAGCTACAGTGATTTCCACAGACGGATAGACGGGCGGACATCGCTATATCGACATAGAATTTTTAGCTGATCAAGAATATATATACTTTGTGGGGTCTAAAATGTCCATCCATCCAACCACTCTCATCAAAAAGTAAAATTCTCCCTGCAAGGCTTTCTACTGGCAACCAGACATTTACCGCTCCCATCAAAGAGCAGAAATCTCTTAAGAAACCCTTTATCCAGCATCTTGGCCCTTTTGAAGGCTGGCGCCCCAAGGAACATGACTAACATGGATTTTCTCTTTATATCATCTCAGACGAAGGTTGAAACCACGAGGTCGTTTAAAGGAAAGCCATTGTGATGGGGTTTCCGCCTACACTTGTTGGGTCAATCCCAAAATGACTGACATCCTTTGATAACTTTACTTAGTTTTCCTGGGCCCTGGTATGAGGGCAAGTGCCAGCATGACCAACAGACTGGGATAACATCTGTCTCTTTGAATGTGCTCTCTCGGAAGATCGTAACCGTTTTACATGGCTGTAGATCAGATGAAGGCTTCTACTCTTTGGAAACCCTTTTAACCGGCTACCTGTCACTTGTGAAGGCTAGCGCCCCAACGATGCTTTCTTAGGATTCTCTTTATAAGACCTTTTACCTCGGCAATCAATGACTACCATGGATTTGCTCTTTGGTCGCAATTTGCAAAGAATTAAAAACGAGGTCATTTAGAGGAAAGCCACTGCTACTTTTGTTAACTCTCAAAATTGCTGAAATCATCCTTGCGAAGCTTTTTGCCGGACCAGTGGTATGTGTACAGGTGCCAGCTTGACCAACAGACTGGGCATATAGCTGTTCCTTTGAATTGAATGTGCTCTCTCAAAATACTGCTGGCCTCCTTGGAAGCCACACTCTGATTTTTCAATCTATGTTGTAGTTGTAGCAGCTCATACGGGTTCTGCCTCTAAATCCAGTCTCAAAAAGAATGCAGCCTGTACAGGTTAGGTCCTCAACGGGACTGGAATTAAGTAAGTAGGTTGAGCTGGACAGCAAAATAGGTGCAGCGTGTCATCATATACGTTTGACCCTCATTTCATGCTCAGTATTCCCGGTAATTTGTTAAATGAATTGCCTTTGGGTTCGGCGCCATAAGTATACCTGTTTCCTAGGGTCTTTAAGGGCTCGGCTTTAAATTGCTAATCTTGGACAATCTCTTTTCGGACCAAGATTCTTTACCGTAGTCGTGACACTACCAGTATCTGTTGGGTTTACGGTCATGATGATCTAATGATGTACATTTTCGACCTTATCCATTTTATTGCTACAGAGGTTGTCCACAAGGTTTGGTATCTAAAAAGGAAAGCCGCAATCTCCGCTTATTAAAAATTTTGATCTTTCATTTTTTGTCGGTAATCCTTCCTCGATATTTTTATAACGTCATCAGAATTTTTTGTTAAGCCAAGAGACGTTCTTCTTTTCAATCTTTTTCCTTTTCCTATTAACACGCTTCTTTCACTTTGCCTCTTTCAGGAAGAACTACAAGCCGAAGCGGTTGCTGTGGGTGCTATACTATCCGATTATCAACGGGTTCGGGTGGAAAATGTTTGCAGTCGCCTAAATTTGGTATCACTAGCCTATCTATGGAGGAGAGATCAGACTGAACTGCTACAGGAAATGATTGATTGTCAAGTACATGCCATATTAATAAAGGTGAGACTAGCGATAATTCCTCCCTTACCTTTTTTTAATCAGCAATTCATCCTCCCATTCTGTTCTTTCTTTCCTGATTACAGGTAGCAACCTTAGGTTTAGTTCCTGATCGTCATTTAGGGAAATCTCTAAGAGAGATACAACCACATTTATTGAAAATGCGTGATAAATACGGTTTGAATGTGTGCGGTGAGGGTGGTGAATATGAGACCTTCACCCTGGACTGTCCATTGTTCAAACAACGCATTGTAGTGTAAGTTTTGTTGAGGTTGTCCATTGGCATAAATTGCTAATTTTGATTTTTTTTTTTTGTAGTGAAGATGTCCAAACTGTTATTAGCTCGGCCGACCCGATATGCCCTGTCGGCTACATCAATTTCACCAAACTATCGCTACAACCCAAAGAACCACAACAGAGCTGTGATGTATTTGTGAAAAAATCTCTGGACTATATAAGTGACCTCAATGAATCGACATACAGTGACCTCAGCGATCCCGATCTCAGTGAAACTGAGCTGGAGCTAATCGAAAAGGAGACACGCATGCGTGAATCTTTGAGTCAAAATGAATTGATATCGCGCAGTAATTCATTTGGTCGACATCTGGCCACCTCATCATCACCCATACCGATTGTGACGAAGAGCGCAAGCGTTGACGAACAGACACCGTCTGCGTTGCTCTCCTCGTCGGCTGCTCTGTGCGCTGCCTCATTACAGGCGGGCAGTTTTGGCCCGCCACGACCGTTGGGTAGTAGCACAGCAGCAGTTTGTGGCAGTTTGTCATTGGCCATCTCGTCCATGGCACTAACGACCACAGGCGGTTTGGCGGGTGGTAATGCGGGTAGCGGTATGTCATCATTGACTGGCGGTATTGGTGGTGGCGGTCTATTGGGCACCCAGCCACCGAGTCCACTGAAATATGAAAGAGAATTCCGTCCACTTAATAATCGACCAATGGTTACGATAAATAGTAAAGGTTGGATGTGGGTGGCTGGCATACAGGGTGAGTTGGATTTCTTGCTATTGAAGATGCTTAAAATGTAGATAAAAACTTAAATAGATAAATATTCGGCATTACTTATGTATAACCTCATGACATTTGTGGGGACATTACAGGGTGAGATAAAAAAACTGCAACAAAGTCAAACGAGATAATTTTTACCTGAAATATGTCGAAAATAGCATCAAATTTTAGAATAAGTTTAGATTTGTTCGAATTGCTTACCTCTGGCACGAATTATGGCCTTCAAACGGCCAATGAACCGTCACACGCTGCCCGAATGTTGATCTGCGGTCTTGCTTTCCAAAATACTCCAGATACAATAGTCCAACGGATCGGTATCCGGTGTTTTTGGTGGCCATTGTGTGCTAGAAACCAAGCGAGGAAACTCATTTCGTAACCATTCTTGGGTGGCGCGTGCTGAGTGCGGCCAAAATGTTTGCGTGCCCAAGGCTTTAATACATCCTTCAGAATATTTTCGCGATAATATTCAGTATATATTCTGATACCATGGTCAATTAATACGAGCAGAGAGCGACCATCGGCTGTTATGGCGGCCCATACCATCACCATGGCCGACGCTTGAGTTCTGGGGGCCAACCGAAGGTGCACATTTTCAGCTGACCTCTTTGGTATTTTTTTTTTTTTTTTTTTTTTGTTTACAAACTGCTGGACAACGAATCTTTTCTCATAGGAGATAACCAAATTCGGCGGTTCACCACTTTCGGCCAATCGAAGCCACTTTTTAGCTCTTTTGAGTCTATTTTCTTCCTGTTGCGGTGTAAGTACTTGCACTTTTTGGAATTTCAATGGCTTTACCCCGAGCTCATTTTTCAATACTTGCCGAATGGAATATTGCGATATGTTCAGCTCACGAGCCATATTTTGGCCACTGCGACACGGGTTTCGATCAAGTCGCTTCCTTACTTTTCGAACCATTTCTGCTGATGTTGCTGTTTTTTCCCTTCCGTCAACTTCCTTGACTTCGGGGTACGCTACCAGTATCACGGCCATGTGGCTCCAGTGTGGTCTGCGAATATTAGTGCTACGCAGTGGAAGCACATCCAGACCTGCCAGAGCGCTGTCCTGAAAACTGCGGCAGGGTGCCTTCTCATGACACCAGTGGACCATCTACATGAGGAGGTGAAAGTCCTTCCCTTACGTCAGCATAATCACATACTTTCGTTGCAGTACCTGCTGGGTGTTACCGTGAGAGTCACCCCAACCATCATATGGTGGATAAATCTCCCCCACCCTGGCGTGTCAGAAAGAACATACCCGATCTAGAGAGGGAGGTCCAACGCTATTAGAGAGAACCTCTAGATCAAGAGGCCTATCAGGCAGGTCTGAGTTTCATTCATACCGATGCAGTCGCGGATGCTATCAGCAGACATAAAATTAATGCCGTCCTCGGAGTCCACCTCCCATCCATTGCAGCTGAAGAACACCAGCTGCCTAGACAAACCAGGGTAGTTTTGGCGCAATTACGTTCAGGATGTTGTAGTCGCCTCAATCCGCATTGAGCACGAATTGATGAAGATATGCGTGACGCCTGCCCCTCGTGTGATACAGGCCCGCACAATATGCTGCACCTCTTTAATTGCACAGCCAAACATACCCAACTCACTCCAGAAGATCTCTGCCTACAACCCATTAAAATAGCCGAATTTCTAAACCTTGAGCTGGAACCAGATTAGCAGAAAGCAAACACTTACATGTACTACTGCTACAACAACAACAACCAGTATCACGGCAACGAGCGATGCTACGAGACACAAACGATTTATTCACATTTAAATGCTGGAGTGCTCTAACGATAGCCATTTGTGGTTTTCCAGCCAAATATAAAGAAATCACACTATCACGCTTGAATTCCATCGCGAATAACTTTCTTTTCCGGAAAATTCTCATCAAAATGCTTTTGTTCGCTTGTAAACAATATAATAAAAGTCATTGGAATAATTTTAACAGCTGTCGTACGAGTGGCTTAAAAATGACAGCAGTCTGAAGTTGTTTACAGTTTTTTTTTATCTCACCCTGTGTATTCCGTCTTCGAACTTGACCCCTGTTTGAAATCTGTATGAAGTCGTGTCTGGATTTGTCTGGATTTGTAAACATAGGTGTGCAAAAATTTGAAAAAAAATCTGAAACACTTGTTAAGCCATGTTTTCAAATGTTGAGTCATTGTGAAATATGTGTCGCAAAGACTGGGCAGGTGCAGCCCATTTTCAGACTTTGAGTTTATTAAAAATATTAGAAATTTAAAAATTTTGGACTTATTACGATACCAATTTCGAGAGCTATTGTTCTCACAAGCAAGTGGACCAGTGAAAAAGTCCAAATTCATTTTGACATTTTGACCATGGCCAATTAACTATGGCCATATGACTAAAAATGCGTTTGTTGTATAACATTTCTACCTCGAATCCGAATCGGAGCTGGATGTAGGGAATCTCAGATTAATGATCCGATAGCATAGCGATTGACTAGATTTAACCTTGTGGATCTTCTCTACACTACCATACTTCTCCATTCATGCGATACTAATTTTCCCACATCATTTTCCACGCCTCTTTACAGGTTGTGCACCCACTCTCGAAGAAGGCATGCAAATTGCCATTGACTCCCTACGTTCCTTGGCCATAGAACACAATTATGAAATTACTAATTATTGCTATATAACACTCTATGTGCGTTCCATTGGTGAATATCAAATCCTGAATCGTATTTACGGACAAGCTGTAAATTTCCAAAATCCACCAACGCGTGTATGTGTCGAGTGTCCATTGCCCGAAGAATGTCATGTTATTATAGAGGCGATTGCTTTCAAATCGCCACAGCGGCGTCGAGCCACCATCTCCATACAGGAGTCCGAGGGTGGCGCCCCATCCGTCGATGATATTATGAGCACCAGTTGTAGCAGCAGTACAAACGATGACCTTTGTAAACGTCATACAATGCATGTCCAAAGTATATCGCACTGGGCACCAGCCAACATTGGGCCATACAGTCAATCCACCAAGGTAATGAAACAATTGTACATGGGTCCTTTGTTTTTTTATTTTCATTTTCATTTGCTTTTCTCCATGTTTTTTGGTTTGCAGATTGGCGAGATTACCTATATTTCTGGTCAAATTGCTCTAGTACCTGGCAGTATGACAATCATTGAGGGTGGCATCCGTCCTCAATGTAAACTAACTCTACGCCATATCTCACGTATTGCCAAGGCAATGAATGCCCAGGGTCAGCTACGTGATGTGGTACATGGCATCTGTTTTGTTACTCATCCGGCGTTTATAACCGAAGCCCGACGCCAATGGGAGCGACGTACAACAAATGCCATAATGGATTATATTGTGGTGCCAGCATTGCCACGTGAGGCATTAGTCGAATGGCAGGTGTGGGCCCATACCCACAATGATCGTTTTGAATGTAAGAATGAACTTTTGTGTGCGAAATTCCAAAGGATAATGGAGATTTTTTATTATTTCTTCTTTCCAGATGAAGAGACCGGTTGCTCAATTAGTGATTATACGATATCGATACGAAGACGTTGGAATTATGAAAATAATTGCGCTGCTATTGTTTGTTATGTATCAACAGGTGAGATTTATTTGAAGCTATAGCAATTATGGATACTTTTTCAATACAGGATGTAGAGTGGGATTTTGTTGCAATTTTACCCCAATTTTAAAATAACATGAGAACTTTTCCAAATTTCTTTTAAGTTTCCGGTACAAGATATGTAACTTCTCTATGCTCCTTGTGGATGATTTATAAATGATAGGATTACTTTGTGGATTACGAATTGACCACTAGCCCACCAGTGGAGTCGCTAGTGGTCATCCGGTAAAATCCGTCGACAGGATCGACTTTAACCTTTCTATTAGTTTGTTTCTCACTATCCTTACGAGACGAACTGTTGTACCGTTTGCGTCGTCACCATTTTTGTTTCGCCTTGGGTTGCTGCCCCTAAGTTGAGAGCATACACTTCACAGCCACTGGTTGAAAGGGGGCTCCAGGTTTAGAAATTCGGCTACTTTAATGGGCTGTAGCCAGAGATCTTCTTGAGTGAGTTGAGTAGGTTTGGCTGCGCAATTAAAGGGTGCAGTGTATTGTGCGGGCCTGTATCACACGCCGGACAGGCATGACGCACATCTTCATCAAATCGTGCCCAATACGAATTGAGATGACTACACCATCCTGGACGCAATTGTGCCAAAACTACCCTGGTTTGTCTAGGTAGCTGACGTTCTTCAGCTGCAACGGATGGGGGTGGACTCCGAGGACGGCATTCATTTTATAACTGCTATAGCATCCGCGACTGCATCGGTATGAATGCCACTCAGACCTGCCTGATAGGATTCTTGATCTAGAGGTTCTTTCTTGTAGCGTTGTGAACTTGGTCGCCCTCGAGGCTTCTTTCTTCGACGAGATTGGCTAGACTTTAATAATTTGTCTTTTATGTGTCATTTTTTGTGAAGAACTGAGGCCTATGTACCGTGACGAAGACTCGGTAACTAAACCTCATATTTTTTAGTCGTCCAGGTATTAACGAAGCTCCTGTAAACCTATAACACAACATGATAAGGGGGTCCTTCTTATGTGGGAGCCTGCACAGAGTTTTGGCTTTTTTAGGGTCGCCAAAACTTTGCCTTGTCAATTTATAGATCAGTGGTACTCGGGTATTTAAACCGAAACTCTCTTCCAGACCCATTGATTGTCCGCCATTTCAAAGCTACCCAATATATCTACTAGGCTTTCCACTATCCGCAAGCTGTGGACGCATCCGAGGACCATCTCTTCTTTAAAATCTGAACCAAGTTCGGAGTACCGATGAACATCAGACACGTAGACCGAAAAATTGCAAGTTGAAAGTGGGATACAAGTAGCCGCCAAATTCGTAGGGAAAATTAGGGTTCGTTTATACGAGTAAGAACAAAATACGAATTCGCAATGGACCCGCAGACAATATACAGGGTGAGATGAAAAAACTGTAACCAAATTCAGACTGCTATCATTTCAAAGCCACTCGTCCGACAGCTGTTAAAATTATTCCAGTGACATCTCATTATATTGTTTACAAGCTTACAAGCGTAAAATTTTTTGTAACACTGTCTGCTGCAGAATCGCAGTAACAGTAAAATGATATTTCAAATTCGAAAGGCTTTGAAAGATTCTTTTTATACCCTCCACCATAGTATGGAGGGTTTATTAAGTTTGTCATTCCGTTTGTAACACCTCGAAATATACATTTTAGACCCCACAAAGAATATATTCTTGATAAGCATGTCGATTTACCGATGTCCGTCCGTCTATCCGTCTGCCCTTCGTGGAAATCACTCTAGCTTCCGAACGAAATGAAGTAGGTGGATAAAATTGTACTCAAATGTGTATTATGTTTGCAGGACTTTTGGTATTGAAAATGGGCTATGTAGGTCCCCGTTTTGGTATAGGCCCCATATAACGGTACCTCCCGATATTCGGTGCGTTGTAGATTTTAGCGACATTATTCACCGGAATTGTGTCAATTTTGGTATTTGAAGTTCGTAATGGATACTACAGCCTAAGACAGAAAATTTGCTGTGCAGGTCCACGTCTTCGTATAGACCCCATATTACGGTATCTCCCGATATTCGGTATTTAGATGATTTTAGCGACATTGTTCACCGGAATTGTTTCAAATTTGGTATTTGATGTTCGTAATGGATACTACAGCCTATGACAGAAGATTGTCTGTGCAGGTCCACGTCTTCGTATAGCCCTCATATAACTGTACCTCCCGATATTCGTCACTTTGAGGATTTTAGCGGCATTATTCACCGGAATTGTTTCAAATTTGGTATTTGAAGTTCGTAATGGATACTACAGCCTATGGCAGAAAATTGTCTGAGAAGGTCCACGTCTTTGTATAGCCCCCATATAACGGTATCTTCCGATATTCGGTATTTTGATGATTTTAGCGACATTATTCACCGGAATTGTGTCAATTTTGGTATTTGAAGTTCCTAATGGATACTACAGCTTAAGACAGAAAATTTGCTGTGCGGGTCCACGTCTTCGTATAGCCCCCATATAAAGGTACCTCCCGATATTCGGTATTTTGATGATTTTAGCGACATTATTTACCAGAATAGTTTCAAATCTGGTATTTGAAGTTCGTAATGGATACTACAGCCTATGGCAGAAGATTGCCTGTGGAGGTCCAGGTCTTCATATAGCCCCCATATAACGGTATCTCCCGATATTCGGTATTTTGATGATTTTAGCGACATTATTCACCGGTTTTCTAAGTTTCGATTTTAACAGAAATTTTAACGCATTTTATTGTTTTAGAATTGCCAATTTCCTTCTAAATAGGGGGTATTCTAAGTTCGGCCCGGCCGAACTTACAGCTTTTTACTTGTTTTTTTTTTATTGTACTCACATATCTAACGTTCCTTTGTTTTTCCTCCATTTCAGGTATGGCCTCCTCGACCACCCAATTGACACAATTATCCGATGATGTCCTAACTAGCCATTGTCGTTTGGCACAAAATTTAACTGGGGAAAATGTTGAAGATATTGTTACCTATGTTGTTAATCGTCTGCTCAAAGACTATCCGTTGGCCAAGAGCAATGAAAATCTAAATGTCCAAACAAATGCATCGACAACAACGCTGAATAATGGTTCACCGATAAATGCTGCCGGCAGTAGTCCAACAATTGCTGTGCCAGCCATACACCTGAAAGTGTTCTATCAAGTGACGGCAACGCCATCTATTGATTTGCTCTTGACGACATTGAATGATTTTCGTGATAAATATCATAAAACGGCCAATATAGCTTTTACTGTTATACCAGCATGCAGTTTAAACAATTTCAGTACTTTCCTGTCCATTTGTGGTGTGCGACATGAATGAGGAGATAATTTTTAATAACAAAATAAATGATTGAATGAATGAATGGTTGAGCCATTAAACAAAACAAAAAAAAAATGGAAACAAAATTAGAACCAGCAGCAGCAACATTGTTGGAATTACGAAACAAGTCTCTTTGTTACAATTTTTTATTATCATTATTATTAAATTATTATTGTTTTTTGTTTGTAATTTTTAATAGCACCTAAGAAATGATAAGAAATTGTTTTTGTTTATTTTGTTGCTTTTTTGGACCAAACGTAAGAAGAAAGAAAAGAAAACTTTAAAAATATGAAAACAAACAAAAACCTAGGTTATGCTGAGGACTTGAACATGTTTCAAATAAAATAAAAAAATGAAAAAAATTGATGAAAAAAAATAAAAATCACATTTTGATATAAAATTTATTAAGTTGCTTTTTTATGTATACATAAAATAGATATTTTTGTAATTTTTTCCTTAAGAACCTAACTACTTAACAATTTACAATTTTCTCTACAAAGTTTTTTTTAGACCAAAACAACTTTTATTTGCTTTATTTTATAAAAATAAAAGATAAAGCAAATATTTTGTAAACACAAAAGAAAAATATTAAATTATTGGCTTAAAAAAAGAAAACAACTACCAAACTACTCAAAATATATAGCAAGCGTGTGTGCGTGCGCAAATAAGTACTCCTGATCAAAAAAACAAACATACTTTCCAAGATTGTACTTCAAAACGATATTATTATCTATTACTATACATAATAACCCCATGCATGTAATTCTAATTACATAGATTCTTAAAAATCTTAACACCAAACACACCATACCAACAATACATATATACAACAATACAAATACATATATTTTTGTGCTGCACTTTAATAATGTACACCCTTCTCTCTAATCTCTTAAGGCTATTCAAAATTGAAATTTTGTGAGAAAAAAATCAATTTACATATATTAAAATATATCCTTCTTTTTTTTACAAAACTCACCTGATGACATTGGATTACATAACATACAAATTCACAAATATTGTATAGTTTGTAAGTCCAATCCAAATGAAAGCAACCAGCTAAGATGAAACAAACGCAAAAGAACTTTAATTGTTATAAAAATAATAAAAAAAACTATCTTACTTATTTTGTAGTGTCTACTAATTTTTCCAAAATCGGGTGTATAGATAGAAAGAAAATCTACTGAATTAGCTGCCATTTTTGGTTTAGAGGGGTAAGAACTCCCAAAAAAAATAATTATGCAAATGATTTCGTAATGAAACTTTTCTCCATACATACTATGGAGGGTATATTAAGTTCGTCATTCCGTTTGTAACTCATCGAAATAATAATTTTAGAACCAACAAAGTATGTATACATATTCTTGATCAGCATAAAATTCTAAGACGATTTAGGCCTGTCCGTCTGTGGAAATCACTATAGTTTCCAAACGAATTGAAGTAGATTGATAAAATTTTACTCAAATGTATATTATGTCTGCAGGACTTTTGGTATTGAAAATGGGCCATGTAAATCCACGTCTTCGTATAGCCCCCATATAACTGTACCTCCCGATACTCAGTATTTTGATGCTTTTAGCGACAATATTCATCGGAATTGTTTCAAATTTGGTATTTGTAGTTCGTAATGGATGCTACAGCCTATGACAGAAGATTGTCTGTGCAGGTCCACTTCGTCGTATAGCCCCCATATGACGGTATCTCCCGATATTCGGCATTTTCACGATTTTAGCGACATTATTCACCGAAATTGTTTCAAATTTGGTATTTGAAGTTCGTAATGGATCCTACAGTCTGAGTAAGAAAATTGTCTGTGCAGGTCCACGTCTTCTTATAGTCCCCATATAACGGTACCACCCGATATTTAGTATTTCGATGATTTTAGCTATATTTTTCACCGATTTTTTTTAAAGTTTCGCATTTGAATATTGTAATGGCTTATGACAAAAGTTACCTATGCAGGTCCATGTCGCCGTATAGACCCTAAAACAACTACATTCGGATTTTTTTAGTATTTGAACAGAATTTTTAACGGATTTTATTGTTTTTAATAATTGACAAGTTCGTTCGAAATGGTGGAGGGTATAAAAATGTTGGCCCGGTCGAACTTAGCTACTTTTTTACTTGTTAAGTTTTCGATTAATCAGCTTTTATTTGTTATTTTGATGTTCTCAAAGAGTAAATAACGTGTTCATGATTCTCCTATTTTTATGTGGCATTTTTAGAAACTACAAAAGTGCTGGTATTACCCTTGACCGACTGATAAATAATCCACTCGGAGATTTAACAAAAAAAAATCAGAAACAAAAATTGATATTATCAGCGTTGCTTACTCTCCACCAAATTTCTTTTGCTTTTAAATTAAGAACAAAATAGTGTTAAATCATTATTTATGCAAATATTTTTTATCCATTTGCTTTATAAATTATTTTGGCCAACAATTAAATGGAATCGTAAAATGTAAAGAAAAACTGAATTTTAATTTTCTCTTTTGAGCAGGGCTGTATTATGAAAGATTAAAGAGAATTTAAAAGTGTACTGCGTTATCGACTCGGAAATGCTCTTTGTGTTTGTTGTTTTATCGATGATGCGTGAAATAACGGAAGTGATGTTCATTATGCTATGGTCTCCTGCTATGGATATTATCACAGAGAGATTGAAAAAGAGTGTGAGAACGTAAGAAAAAGGGTGCAGTAAATACCAATATACATGTCATTACTAAGCCACTCGTCCGACAGCTGTTAAAATTATTCCAGTGACAGATCATTATATTGTTTACAAGTGTACAAAAGCATTTTGGTGAGAATTTTCCAAAAATAAAAGGTTATTCATGATGGAATTCAAGCGTGGTAGTGCAATATCATTATATTTGGCTGGAAAACCACAAGTGGCTATCGTTAGAGCACTCCAGCATATAAATGTGAATAAATCTTTCGCGTCGCAGTGGCTCGTGAGCTGAACATATCACAATATTTCATTCGGCAAATATTGAAAAATGAGCTTGGGGTAAAGCCATTGATATTGTAAAAAGTGCAAGAACTTACACCGTAACAGAAAGAATATAGACTCAAAAGGGCTAAGGAGTTGTTTCGCTTGGTCGAAAGTGGTGAACTACCGAATTTCGTTGTCCAGCAGTTTGTAAACAAATAAAATGATCGTGTTTATTGGCCAAAGAGGTCAGCTGAAAATGTGCACCTTCGGTTGGCCACCAGAACTCAAGCGCCGGTCATAGTGATGATGTGGGCCGCCACAACAGCCGATGGTCGTTCTCCGCTCGTATTAATAGACCATGGCATCAGTATAAATGCCGAATATTATCACGAAAATATTCTGGAGGGTGTATTAAAGCCTTGGGCACACACACATTTTGGCCACAGACCTTGGACATTCCAACAGGACTCAGCAACATAGCACTTACCACGCGTCACCCAAGAACGGTTACAAAATGAGGTTTATCGCTTCATTTCCAGCGCACAAGGGCCACCAAAATCTCCGGATACCAATCCGGTGAACTATTGTGTTTCGAGTATTTTGGAAAGCATGGTTGGCACTAAAAACTACCAAAGTGTCAATCACCTCAGTCAAGCGCTTCGCCGGGAATGGACCAAAATACCGCAGACAAATGATAAATGTATTGGCCATTTGAAGGCCATAATTCGTGTCAAAGGTGACCAATTCGAACAAATCTAAACTTATTCTAAAATTTGATGCTATTTCCGACCTTTATTGCTTTCATTCAATAAAATTTTAAAAGAAAATGTAAAAATGATGGCGTTTGACTTTGTTGCAGTTTTTTATCTCACCCCCTCTATGAAAAATTAATGAGTAAACTGTTTAATCGACTCGGAAATTCTCTATTTTTTATCGATGATGGGTGAAATGCGTGAAAAAAGGGAAGGAGAGTTCGCTTTTGCATGGTCTTTCTCTATGGATATTATCACAGAGAGATTAGAAAAGAGAGTGAGAACGTAAGAAAATGGGTGCAGTAAATACCAATATTAGAAAATACAATGAAGACGAGTTCCCGTATCACTTGGCCACTTAAAACTTTTTAGGTCATAATAGGAAGAACGCAATGCATTTAGCGCTTTTAATGTGAATACAACCAAGCTAGACGGCTTTATCGACTCGTAAATTCTCTCTGTATTTGTTATTTTATCTATGACGCGTGGCAAAAAATAATAATCGATGGCGCGCCATGGCCTTTAACGATTTGAAAGACGAATGTTGGTTTCAGACATCGATAGTTTGATAGTTTGTACCTCATTGATCCATTCCTGACGAGTCTTAACGCGGTATTGATTTCTACTAATAATAGAGACATAGTCGAGAGTCTAGTATTGGCATAGACGAGTGTTTGGCTTACACGTCAAAGACTGTCTAGTCTCCATTGCAAATCCAATATTGTGAACACGTAGGGAATGATGCGACTTAAGCCACTTTACTTTCCAATCCAGAGACATGCTATGTAGGATCCATGGTAGAAGAATGCATGTAGTCATCGTCACTGCTGCTGAGACAACGAACTGTCAAACCTACTTTGAAATTATAAACGTTGAATGAAAAGTTATTCAAATTTGTAAAAATTGTTGTAAAATGAATCTTATGACGACCTCCGATTGGTGTCGTATAAGAAAACTTAAAAAAAACTTACTTATTTTTGAAAAACATTTTAAAAAAATTTTGACTTATCAATATTCACAAGCGTTGATACATCTACCTATATTCTTCAACCATGGTAGGATCCTAACAAATTCTGACCATTTCGGAAACCTCTTAGGATTATTCCATGCAAACTTACTCACTAACTTCTGGTTCCTCTTAATCAACAGACTTCTATGTGGTTAATGACTCAGGTCCAATACTCGTTGATATCGAATGTTAGAATTTGATCCCAAGTGCCTTCCGTCAAATTTCTGAAACGATTTCATATCAATCCGTCTTAAGCCCGTTTTCTTTTGGGAAAGAGATGACAGAAGAATACAGATAGATGCATCAACGTTTGGAAACGTTGATATGTCAAAATTTTTAAAATATTTGGTCAACAATAAGTACATTTTTAGATGTTTTTCTTAAAAGACACAAATAAGAGATTGTTATGATATGTATTTTTCAACCATTTTTACAAATTTTTTTTCATTCAAAATTTTATATTACAAATCTGGTTTGACAGTTCATTGTCCCAGCAGCTACGTTGGTGCGACTACCTGTATTCTTTTACCATGGGAAAAGTACCAAGTAAAATTATTAAAATACACTCTTTAAAAATTTGTCGATTCAAAGCATAATTTTTCTTGCCGCCGTTTGCATTGCACAACTCGACGCCGTTACAGAGAACTACAATCAGACTCTAAACTTTGACGTGTTCGAGTTGGTTACTCACAATTGTGTTAAAGTAACCAAGTCTGCAAGCAACTTCGTTGCTCACATAAAATTAAGATATTTTAATAAATTGAAACAAAAAATACGCGATTCTTTTGATCCAGTAAGTTGCAAAGAAAATACGAAGAATTAGCATCAAAAAGTTAAGAGAAGAATGCGGTGTATTGTGCAAAATAGTTGTGTTGTATGTGGGGCTAGCCAAATGCTTCATTGTTTATTTGTATCATTGTTTTGGTCGTGATTACACCGTCAGGGGTCAGGTTGTCTTATCCGTGTGAAAGAGAGAACTTGAAAATGAATTGGAAAAAATAGTATAATTAGAAAAAATGAAGATATAAATTTGGTCCATTCCCGGCGAAGCACTTGCTTGATGGTATTTTTTAGTGCCAACCTTGCTCCAGACACAATAGTCCAACAGATTGGTATCCGGAGATTTTGTGGCCATTGTTCGCTGAAAATGAAGCTTAGAACCACATTTTGTAACCATTCTTGAGTGGCGAGTGCGATGGTGCTGAGTCCTGTTGGAATGTCCAAGGTCTGCGGCCAAAATGTTTGCGTGCCCAAGGCTTTAATACACCCTCCAGAATATTTTGGCGATAATATTTGGCATTTATTCTGACGCCACGGTGGATTGATACGAGCGCAGAGCGACCATCGGCAGCTATGACGGCCCACACCATCACCATGGCCGGCGCTTGAGTTCTGCTGGCCAACCGAAGGTACACATTTTCAGCAGACCTCTTTGGCAAGTAAACACGATCATTTTGTTTGTTTACTAACTGCTGGACAACAAATGTTTTCTCATCGGAGAAAACCAAATTCGGCAGTTCAGCACTTTCGGCCAAGCGAAGCAACTCTTTAGTTCTTTTTAGTCTATTTTCTTTCTGTTGCGGTGTAAGTTCTTGCACTTTTTGTAATTTTAATGGCTTTACCCCGAGCTCTTTTTTCAATAATTCCCAAATAGGAATAATTGCCTTATGTTCAGCTCACGAGCCATTTTTCGGCCACTGCGACGCGGGTTTCGATCAAGTCGCTTCCTTACTTCTCGAACCATTTCTGCTGATGTTGCTGTTTTCTTCCGTCCACTTCCTTGACGTCGGGCTGCGCTACCAGTATCACGGTACGAACGAGACACAAAAACTTTATTCACATTTAAATGCTGGAATGCTCTAACGATAGCCACTTGTGATTTTCCAGCCAAATATAAAGAGATCACACTATCACGTTTGAATTCTATCAAGAATATCTTTCTTCTGGAAAATTCTCACCAAAAGCATTTTGTACGCTTGTAAACAATCAAATGATCTATCACTAGAATAATTTCAACAGCTTGTACATAAACCCCTCAAAATTTTGCATATTGTGAAGAAGACTATGTGTGGGCTATCTAAACGGTTATCACATCCAAAAAACTTCCAATCCATTTGTAACTTTTATCTTAATAAAATTAACTTTTACTCAATTTCTTTCTTCCTCGAATTTAGCACAAGTCCCTGCAACATCAACATGTCTCGAAAATGTGTTATGGGTTGCAAAGAATTTAAGAAACTATTTAGCTTCCCAACGGAGGCTAGTGAAAGAGAGAAATGGTGTACGTTTTTGGAAATCACATCCCTCAACAATGATGACAAACTATGCGATGCTCATTTTGACGCGAATTGTAAAACACTCCGGAGAAAACGTAATTCTCCCAAATCGCCCGAAGAAAAAACCCCAAAAAGACCCGAAATAAAAAAATCATTTCAACTGGAACCAGTTAAAAGTAATTTCGAGGCTCCACCCAAACGTACCTACGGTCAACGTAACAACAGTGTAACAGAAAAACCAAAACCTCCACCTCAACTTGATATCACAATGACCTGTTATTGCCGTTGCCACAATACCGAGAAGGAAGAAAATCGTAGTCTATTGAATCAAGTTGATGAAATGACGAAGAAAATTGCCCGACAAAGCAATGAGATAAAACTTCTTATGTCTCAAAATAAAATCAGCGAACATTTACTCAAAACAAAAACCAAACGAATTGCCGAGTTGCTGTCTGGCGAAAAGTTTCTACGCAAGCAGTTGGAATCTCTGGAGCATATTGTGGCCGAACAGGGACGCATTCACATAAAGGCTGCACCAAATGCCAGTGAGAATAGCATCGCCTTTGCTCGCATGGTATGTGCCAAACGGAAAATGTACACAAAAAATGAAGTTTTATTGGCACAAAAAATTTACTCAGTATCGAGTCGTTGTTATCATTTTATGCGAGGATTTTTAAAGCTTAACTTGCCGCATCCTTCGACACTGAAACGTCAGCGTGAAATACAAGCGGCACGCAATGAATTAAATATAAGTAGTTCTTCTTTTGATGAGACAGAACATGATTTGGAATCAAATGGTAACCAGATACAAAACAATGAGACTGAGATTATGGAGGTAGATTCAAATAATGTGGATAACGGTGTAATCAAATGTCTATAGATATTTTTCTTTAAAATATTTCTATTTATTAATTTGTTGTTTATTTTAGTAATCTATATGGTACTATAGAATTAAAAATAGATTTAATATTATTTTATTATGATTTTTGTTACACTAAAATGTTAAAAAGCCAAATAAAAATAATTTGAACTTAAAGTTCGTAATTTCTTTGAAAGATAACATCTTTGGAGATGAGATTTTATGGGTCTTTATGTAAAAAATTTAAAACCTTTACAAAAAAACCTTTCCTTCTACGAACGAATGGAATAATAGAACCAGATACTGCTATAAAAATTTTGACCTTCTAGAATTAAAAAAAAAAATCTTTTTGATCTCTAAAAAAAGATCCTTCTATGAGAGAAGACATTTCTATTTTCTTGAGAAAATATTATCTGGTCTTCTATGAGAAATAACGTTTAGTTTTTTTCTTTAAGGAGACCTTTTGTTTCTTTTAATGTAGACCAACTAAACCTTTAAGAAAGAACTTTTAACATTCTACAAAAGAAATTAAATTATTTCCTTTATGTAAGGAGGTCTACGTAAGGAAAACTTAGAGCCCTGTCGTGTTGCTTTTCCCATTTTTATTTCTCAATATTGCAGTGCTCCGCCACCCAATAAATCTTAATGATCATGGACAGATATTTAGTTCAAACGATTTGATATTTTATGGAAAATTATCCGACCTAATTTCCAACCTAACAGCCATTAAACGTTAGCCCCCATAAAACATTTCTTGTGATTTCCGATATTTTCAAGTTTTTGGTCTAAATTTCACACGCAATCAGTTGTAATTTGATATTTCGGATTGTTAGTAGTTAAATTTACGCCCCTCAACAAAAATATTCAATAAAGTTGGGGCCACTAAAACTAAACATTCAAATTTAATGGTTCTTGAAGATCGCCGATATAGCCATAAGTCAGCTTTCCACTTACTGGAGGCCCGGTCGAATATAATTTCGTTTTTAGTTGTTTTTCTTCTACGCCTAAATGTTTATGTTCTTCTCGCCTGAAACTGCTTCAGAATATCAAAAGTTTGGGTTTTTAGTAGAATCTTGTTAAAGGTTGGAAGTATGGGCGAAATATTTATGATATCAAAAATTACAAAACATTGTTAAATTTTGTCCAATAACAAATTCTATTTAATTCTGTTTGAAGTAAGCAAATAATACATTTACAATTTTAATTGTCAACCCTAGTACCTTAAAGGCAGCCTTTCTGTATATAAGAGCCCTTACTAATATACCTGTAATCCCCATTCTTTATTTCATGGGAGACAGACAAAAAATAAATCCAAAAATAATTTTTACTACTATACGCCCCATATTCTTCCATCAAATGTAATGGATCTTGAAAAATCCTACCAATTTTCCTAATATTATCAAACCAAACTATCCAAAATCGATTATTTGAAGATATTGAATTATAACATTAATCCCTAGATTTGCATAATAAACAAATACAAATCTGTTGCAATAATTTGAAAAACAGTCATAACGGAAACAAACATGCCAATCTGGCATCTGGCAAAATCGCGAAATGAAGAGAATCTCTTGAAGAGAACACGTACCCACAAATGCAGCAGTGACAACAACATGACGTGGCCCAATCAAAATGTCTACTCTCCGTTAGACTCATTGAAGTGTTTACCTGCGCGCTCTCGAACAGAAAATCCCCAAACATACAAACCCCCCCTTAAATCCATTGAATTATTTTAACAGTTGGGAAAATACACGTCACTTGCTGTGATAAGAGAAGAGCATATTTCACATTATGGGAGATTATTCGTTGGGGCAAGAAACAACAAAAAAGGCCAAGCAAAAAAATCCACGTCAGTTATATTGGACATTAAAAGCCGCAACTCTCATGCCCAGTCAGTCAGTTACAAAAATACAAAGCAAGAGTACAGAACACAAATATCGAGAAGAAAGCAAACAAAAGCGCATTGTGTGAATTTTTTAAACAAAACACAAGTTGTTAATAATATATATATATAGAGCAAGTGATAAACAAATTTGAATAAAACTGCAAATATTGCATTTTTTTGTAAATTAGAATAATTAATTGTTATTCCAAAGTAAGTAAATTAAAAAATTAAGCAAGAAAAAATAATATGAACGAAAATCTCCAATCTAAAAATACCAAAAGAAAATGCCAGCCGCAGCAGTAGTACATGAAATTGCAAAGTGTGTGTGTGTAAAACAAAAAGAATTTTATACAGAAAAATATAAATGAAACAATGCAATTTTGTTGTAAAATATGAAATTTTTATAAAAGAAAAAAAATTAATTTTTCTTGTGTGGTATATATGTACTTCAACAAATACGCCTAGAATCTTCGGGAACATTTTGCATAGCCGTCCGCAGTATGGTGGCGACTTTCTCTGCCTCAATGATTGAGACTCCTCTCAATGAATTCGAAAAAAACTTAAACACATACAGTGCTGTGCGTGTGAAAGCATTTCCTTTTGTAGTATAACAGAAATGTTGTCGCATTTTTAAACAATTAACAAATAAAATTAAATGAAATGGAATTTACCAATTTAAAGTTAAATCCCAAGGATTTTGTTTTTTGACAAATTTCATAACCTTATATAAAAATCAAACATGGGCGTGAGAGAGATTTGCTCATTTTGTTTGACAGCTGGTGTCATTTGAATGTGCAATACAGAGAGATAGAGAGATCCATACATGTCAGCTACAGCATTCCTCCCCCTTTTTAATGGCATTTCAAATGCATTTGGGTGTTTTTATTCTCATAGAATTTTTTGCCTTACTCCGCTTTTTTGCTATAGTTTTTAAACTGGCAAAAGTAGTAAAGTGTAAACGCGGCTATCCTTTCAATTTAGGCTGCTATTCTATGCATAGGAACATGTTTAAAAAAAGTGGCAAAAATTTAAGATTCTTGCTAGCATTTTTTGCCAATATGCACAATTGCAATGAGTATTGCTAGTAAGAAGACCTCAAAACTTAAAATGATAACATTCCACATGGTAGTCAGAGTCAGTCTTATCAGAAATTGATGGAACTTAAATTAGAATTGATAGAATTGTTGGTACCTATCATGGTAGAAGAATACAGGTAGTCGCATCGACACAGCTGCTGCGACAATGAACTGTCAAACCAATTTTGGAATTGAAATTTTTGAATGAAAAATTATTCAAATTTGTAAAAATTCTTAAAAAGGCTATATCATAACAACCACCGATTAATGTCGTGTAGGAAAACTTTCGCAAATCTACTTATTTTTGAAGAAACATTTACAAAATGTTGACATTTCAAGGCTCCCAAGTTTTGATGCTTCTACCATGGTACCTTTGCTTCTTTTAAACAAATTTTAATAGGGCCTTATAATTTATTAAACAAATATATAAACACGATAAACACGAAGGGACAATAACAGATAAAGAACTTAATATTTTTTATAACTTATAAAAATTACCAAGGTCACATCTAGCAAAGGACAAATGTAGAGCACAATTATCAGATTTAATAATTTGATAGAAAACAGCAATTTCGATAGTAGGTCTCCTGAGATTTCGTAAATTCTTACTGGGAAACCTTTACCTGTAATCATCAGCTGTTTTAAGGATGATGTGAAAACGTTTAAAAATTCAAGCAGCAGGCCTATTCTGTAACCTTTTAACAACTTTACTCATGCTCTGCTCCACAACCTGCAAAGATCTACTATTTTTATACCCTCCACCATAGTATGCAGGGTATAAGTTTGTCATTTCGTTTGTAACACCTCGAAATATACATTTTAGACCCCACAAAGTATATATATTTTTGATCAGCATAAAATTCTACGTAGATTTAGCGTTGTCCGTCCGAATGTTCCGAAAAAAATGAAGTAGATTAATAAAATTTTACTCAAATGTATATTATGTCTGCAGGACTTTTATTATTGAAAATGGGCCATGATTTGTGATTGATTGATGATTTTTGCGACATTATTCACAGGAAATGTTTCAAATTTGTTATTTGAAATTCGTAATGGGTACTACAACCTATGACAGAAAATTGTCTGTGCAGGTCCACGTCTTCGTATAGCCCCATATAACGTTACCTCCCGACATTCGGTATTTTGATGATTTTAGCGAGATAATTCACCGGTATTGTTTCTAATTTGGCATTTGAAGTTCGAAATGGATACTACAGCCTAAGACAGAAAATTGTCTGTGCAGGTCCAGGTCTCCGTATGTCCCCCATATAACGGTACCTCCCGACATTCGTCATTTTGATGATTTTAGCGACATTATTCACCGGAATTGTTTTAGATTTGGTATTTAAAGTTCGTAATGGATACTACATCCTAAGATAGAAAATTGTCTGTGCAGGTCCACGTCTTCGTATAGTCCCCATATAACGATACCTCTCTATATTCGGTATTTTGATGATTTTAGCTACATTATTCACCGAATTTTTTATTCAAGTTTCGCATTTGAATATTGTAATGGTTTATGACAAAAGTTACCTATGCTGGTCCACGTCGTCCTATAGACCCTAAAGCGATAACGGCTACATTTGGTTTTTTTTTTAAGATTTTAATAGCATTTTTAACGGATTTTATTATTTTTGAAAATTGCCAAAATCATTCCAAATGGTGGAGGGTATTAAAGACCGGCTTTTTACTTGTTTATTTTTTTTTTCAAGGTGTCCATGTCAAAAAATATTAATCCCTGAAATATGTTCAATACAATGCAGTATCATCTCCACACAATTAGCAATGCAAATCAATGCTAATCTAGTTTTTCAAAAATAGTTTTTAGAAAGGTTTTTAACCTTGATTTTTTGCTCAGAAAATCATAAAATCTACAACAACACAAATATGTACAATTAGTTGTTAACAAATTGTCAGATTTGTTGCCTGCCTAGTCTATCATTTCTAGAAGACTCGCGACACCAATAATTTGTTTCTAAAGAGCCATTGACTGATAAGTTTAAAAATTATCAGCTTGTGAAATAGCTAGGTATAAATCTCAAAAATAATTTTATTGATAGCATGGCTAGCATATAACGGTAACACCTTAGGGAGAGAATAAGGTTGGAGAGCTAGCTAACATTAAAAACGCCAACACCACACATTTTATTTAACGCTCACCTCTGACGGTTAAGCATTTTTGTTAAGTAAAGTACAGCTTTACTCAAATGCGATTTGAACACGTCACTTGTTTTGGGAAAGTGATTTCCTATTATTTAAAAAAAAAATGACACGGTTTACTGGTGGTTGGCAACAAATTAAGATTACCTGTTCATTCATGTTTACATACACACGTAGCAGTCGATACATGTGGTTTAACAATTTGGAGATGTTTTTTGTTTTATTAACAATACAATGACAACTCATAACTACAGACGACATATTTCCAATGAAACAAAGAAGCACACCACGTCAGTTTAATGGCCAGCACATCACCACCTGAATAAATAAATTCCCCTCCTTTCTGTAGTTTTACCCATATATTGAATAACAAATAAAATAGGTCAAATAGTTGTTTAACTTTCTTTCGTTGACATATTTTTAAGTCTTACATAGAATTGTCAAGTATAGCATTTTCAGATTAAATGAAACCTTTTGCAATTCAAATGAATCTTTTTGCAGCGGGAATGAAACCTTTTGCAGTGGAATTGAAACCTTTTGCAGTGGAAATGAAACCTTTTGCAGTGGGAATGAAACCTTTTGCAACCGAAATGAAACCTTTTGCAACCGAAATGAAACCAATTGCAACCGAAATGAAACTTTTTGCAAATCAAATGAAACTTTTAAATTTATAGAAGGAAAAATAACAAAACATTTATATTTTTAGTAGTTTTTAAATTAAATCAATTAATTATAACTAATATATTGACAAAGAGGATTTTTTATTGATTATAAATATCTACATTTATTTATATTATTTCTTAAATTTTCAATTATTGTATAATAATAAAATAAAAAATAATAAAAAAAAAAATAATAAAAAATGGTTCTTTACTGATTTGATATAAAATGCTTCCATATTATTAAATTCCAAATGCTTAACGCTAAAAAGAGAAATTTAAGCAAAGTTTGGCCTTTATAGGAATGGCCAGGACTGAAATGTGAAATTAAGCTTTACCACAATTTTTTATAGTTATAGTATACTATTAATCTTACCTAATAAGGGATTCCCGCTTCGCAGCTTTATTGATTATGGAGATAAAGCAGTCGTGATTTCAATAGACAGATAAGTGGAAATCATTAAATCAACTATGATCATAATACTTTATGGGGTCTACGACGAATATTTAGAGGTGTTACAAACCGAATGACAAATTTAATATATTCTCCTTTCCATGGAGGAGATTATAAAATAGTACCTAATTCGGGTCCTTTGAAAAAATACCTTGAAAATCTTTTTTCAATCTTTCTGCATCTACACTTGTGTTTTATGGAAGCTTAAGAAAAAAATTTATAAAAACATAGTTATTAATAATCAATAAAAAATCCTCGTTGTCAATATATTAGTTATAATTAATTGATTTAATTTAAAAACTACTAAAAATATAAATGTTTTGTTATTTTTCCACATATAAATTTAAAAGTTTCATTTGATTTACAAAAAGTTTCATTTCGGTTGCAAATGGTTTCATTTCGGTTGCAAAGGGTTTCATTTCGGTTGCAAAAGGTTTCATTCCCGCTGCAAAAGGTTTCATTTCCACTGCAAAAGGTTTCAATTCCACTGCAAAAGGTTTCATTCCCGCTGCAAAAAGATTCGTTTGAATTGCAAAAGGTTTCATTTAATCTGAAAATGCTATATTTTGGCGGCAACATAAAGTTCCTCTCTCTACACTCTTTTGTAAGTGTTCTTTTTCCTTAAGAAGCGGTTTGATAAACCAAATCAAAAATTTGTGTATTCAATCAAATGTCAAGATTTTTTTAGATTTATTTTAATTTTCACAAAGTTTAAATGCCCCCTTTTATTTTTTAAACTTTCCAAAAATTACATTTCTTTGTCAAGAATTTTGTCGTTTTCATGAATAGATATTTTATTTCAATGTTTTTTAATATATCAACTGTTAAACATTTATGAATTAAATCTTTCAAAAGTCAAACATTTTTGGGACAATTTTAATTTTGCATAAAGTTTAAACACCCCTGTTTAATCATCTTTTTGTGGCCAACTCATTATTAATGCAAATTATCTTCTTCGAGAAAAAACATTTCTCATCGTAATATTGCCGGCACTGACATTGAGTGATTTTGTACCCTTTCTCTCACACACTCAATTTTGACCACCTTCTCATCGACAACCGGCCTGTCACAAATGAACACGTATACAACGAATACAAGAAATTTGTTAAATAGTTATAAAAAAAACTTTCTCTTGTGCTCAAATATTTTGTTGTTTTCCGCTGATAAGATCATTTTGTTGTTGGGGGTTTATTTTATATTTTATACAACAACAACAACAACCCCATTGTATTGAGCAGAAATTACAAATTACTCAGAGAAACAACTCAACTTGGCAGCAGCAGCAGCAGCAAACCAATGTCAAAGTCAGTCGGTTTCGTTTATTTTTACTCGAGTTGTCAAAGTCAGCGGACGTGTTTGCTGGTAAGAGGAAGAAAGTTTAGAAATTTATTAAAAAAGTGTTAAGTTCTTAAATAAAAAGCCTACTAGAGTGCGATTGCGTGTGTATGTGTTTCAAGACAGGCCCAAAACTGGTTCTTAAACTTAACAGAAATGGGTCATTTGTCTAACTAAAGAATAAATAGAAAGTTTTGTGCGGTAGTCAAGCAGCCCGCAACCAGTTTTTCTAGAAGTACACGTTTGCTTTTTTGTCGGCTGCAGCACTGTTATCCAAGAACATTGAACGCTCATTTGTGGTGACGCAGGCAATTTTTCTTTGGTGTTTTTTTAATAGAATGTCGTGTCTGTTCTTACCGGCATATTTTTAAGATTAGGTTATATTTTATTTAAATCCTTACAACAAATTTTAACATATCCCTATTTTCTCTCGTTCTTCTTTATTACAGTTAGTAGTATAATAAATACACCTCAGTGAACAGAAACAAGAAAAATCAAAATGAGATTATTCGCATTTTTGGCCGTAGTGGCCTTTGTTGGCCTCGCCCTTGCTGACGAGAAAAAGGATAAGGACATTGGCACAGTCATTGGCATTGATTTGGGTACCACCTACTCTTGGTAAGTTTTCGATTAATCAAATCAAAATTTATGCTTATTTCCAACCCATCCAAAAGCCATTCGTTTCTAACCTAAATATTTCCCTTCATTTTTTTAGTGTTGGTGTTTACAAAAATGGACGTGTTGAAATTATTGCCAACGATCAGGGTAACCGTATCACTCCATCCTATGTTGCCTTCACCGCCGATGGCGAACGTTTGATTGGTGATGCCGCCAAAAATCAATTGACCACAAATCCCGAAAACACCGTATTCGATGCTAAACGTTTGATTGGCCGTGAATGGACCGATACCAATGTCCAACACGACATCAAGTACTTCCCCTTCAAGGTTGTCGAAAAGAACTCCAAGCCACACATTAGCGTTGATACTTCCCAAGGCAAAAAGGTCTTTGCTCCTGAAGAAATCTCTGCTATGGTCTTGTCCAAGATGAAGGAAACCGCCGAAGCCTATTTGGGCAAGAAGGTTACCCACGCTGTTGTCACTGTCCCAGCTTACTTCAACGATGCCCAACGTCAAGCCACCAAAGATGCCGGCGTCATTGCTGGTTTGAATGTCATGCGTATCATCAACGAACCTACCGCTGCCGCCATTGCCTACGGCTTGGACAAGAAGGAAGGTGAAAAGAACGTCTTGGTCTTCGATTTGGGCGGTGGTACCTTCGATGTCTCCTTGTTGACCATTGATAACGGTGTCTTTGAAGTCGTTTCCACCAACGGTGATACTCACTTGGGTGGTGAAGATTTCGATCAACGTGTCATGGACCACTTCATCAAGTTGTACAAGAAGAAGAAGGGCAAGGATATCCGCAAAGACAACCGTGCCGTCCAAAAATTGCGTCGTGAAGTTGAAAAGGCCAAGCGTGCTTTGTCCAGTGCCCATCAAGTCCGTATTGAAATTGAATCCTTCTTCGAAGGTGAAGACTTCTCTGAAACTTTGACTCGTGCCAAGTTCGAAGAATTGAACATGGACTTGTTCCGTTCCACCTTGAAACCCGTACAAAAGGTCTTGGAAGATGCTGACATGAACAAAAAGGATGTCCATGAAATTGTCTTGGTTGGTGGCTCCACTCGTATCCCCAAGGTACAACAATTGGTCAAGGACTTCTTCGGAGGCAAGGAACCATCCCGTGGTATTAACCCCGACGAAGCTGTTGCCTATGGTGCTGCTGTCCAAGCTGGTGTTCTCTCCGGTGAACAAGATACCGATGCCATTGTCTTGCTCGATGTCAACCCCTTGACCATGGGTATTGAAACTGTCGGTGGTGTCATGACCAAATTGATTCCCCGCAACACTGTCATCCCCACCAAGAAGTCTCAAATCTTCTCCACTGCTTCCGATAACCAACACACCGTCACCATTCAAGTCTACGAAGGTGAACGTCCCATGACCAAGGATAACCACTTGTTGGGCAAATTCGATCTCACTGGCATTCCCCCAGCTCCTCGTGGCATTCCTCAAATTGAAGTCAGTTTCGAAATCGATGCCAACGGTATCTTGCAGGTCAGTGCTGAAGATAAGGGCACCGGCAACAAGGAAAAGATTGTCATCACCAACGACCAAAACCGCCTCACCCCCGAAGACATTGAACGTATGATCCACGATGCTGAGAAATTCGCCGATGAAGACAAGAAACTCAAGGAGAAGGTTGAGAGCCGCAACGAATTGGAATCCTATGCCTACAGTCTCAAGAACCAAATCGGTGACAAAGAAAAACTCGGTGCCAAGTTGAGCGAAGACGAAAAGGTCAAAATGGAAGCTGCCATCGATGAAGCCATCAAATGGTTGGAAACCAATGCCGATGCCGACCCCGAGGAATACAAGAAACAAAAGAAAGACTTGGAAGCCATTGTCCAACCCATCATTGCCAAGTTGTACCAAGGCACCGGTGGTGTACCACCCACAGACAGTGATGACAACGATGACTTGAAGGATGAACTGTAAATCGTTCCCCCAGCGATATATAGGTTCTAGCTCTAGTTTAGTTGTAGTTCGCAGTTTAGTTAAAGAAAAGAAACAAACAAGCAGACTGATACACATTTAATAAATCAACAAACATTTGTGTTAATACAAAAAATGAGAAAATACACAACATAAAAGAAAATATTTATTAAAAACAAAAAAGACACGCTTTTTCCTTTCAAAAAATACAACCGTTAATATTGACACACAGACAAGATAGATGCATTTCCAGCTATTGTAAAAAAGCGATAAATCCAATGTTGATTACCATTGTTTCCCAAAATCAACTTCAGTTGTTCCCAGACCATTTCCAAACGCCTAAACATGTTAGCAATTTTTTTTTATAATTTAAATTATTAGTTCCAAATAATAAATTCAATTAATTTTTTTATCATTTTGTAATAAGCTACAAAAACACTAAAAATAGAAATCTTCGATTTTTAAGAAGAATTTTTAATTTATTTCACTTTTTCCAAACTTTAAATATAAAATACTTAAATTTTTGAGAAAAAAAGAAGAAAAAATACTTTAATAAAAAATTATAAAAAATATAAACTTTCTGTGTTTGTATTTATGTGTATTATATATGATTCGTATCCGATTTTGTAGACCGTAACTTTACAAGAGTTCTTTTGCAATAGGTCTCTAGTTTTCGTGCCTTCTTGGTATCAATAATTTTGGGTACAGAAGAAGTACAGGGTAAGATGAAAAACTGCAACCAATTTCAGACTGCTGTCATTTCTAAGCCACTCGTCCGACAGCTGTTAAAACTGTATAAAGCATTTTGGTGAGAATTTTACAGAAAAAAGTTATTCGTGAAGTCAAGGAAGTGGACGGAAGAAAACAGCAACATCTGCCCGTGGCATCAGAATAAATGCCGAATATTATCGCGAAAATATTTTGGAGGGCACGCAAACTTTTAGGCCGCAGACCTTGGACATTCCAAAAGGACTCAGAACCATCGCACTCAGCACGCGCCACCCAAGAATGATTATAAAATGAGGTTCCTCGCTTCATTTCCAGCGCACAATGGCCACGAAAATCTCCGGATACCAATATGTTGAACTATTCTGGAGTATTTTGGAAAGCAAGGTTGGCACTAAAAAATACCAAAGTGTCGATCACACAAGCAAGTGCTTCGCCGGGAATGGACCAAAATACCTCAGAGCAACATTCGGGCAGCGTGTGACGGTTTCATTGGCCGTTTGAAGGCCATAATTCGGGCCAAAGGTGAACAATTCGAACAAATCTAAACTTATTCTAAAATTTGATTCTATTTCCGACATTTGCTTTCATTCAATAAAATTTAAAAAAAAATTATGACGTTTGACTTTGTTGCATTTTTTTATCGCACCCTGTAGAAAGAAGGTTCCCATTACTGATTTGTGTATGTACAATGGATTTATAAATATAAATTTTGACAATGTGATGTTGTCAAATGAAAAATTTAAAACAAAATAGTAAATGTTTGATTGCATGACTTTACCTTCTTAATTCTACCATGAACTACTCTTGTCGAGCACTCTTTTAGTTTTTGCCGTACCGTTGTTGTATTTCGATATATGTATATTCTTTCTGAACACGATTAAAACCTCCACCCTCTTTCCCCTCTTTATGGTACAATAAGGAGGTAGAACAGCTTCTTAAAACTACAGAAACACTTTCCTGAGGCTATGCCCTCTTTCTGTCAAATTTACATACAACCATGGTACAATGAATTCAAGGTAGGGCAGAACTACCATATGATTTCAATTTTTTTATTTTCTTGGCTTAATATGTCATCTTTATTTGTTTATGTATGTGTTTTCTTTTCAATAACAAAAAATTGTTCAGAAAATATTCAAATTCGGGTGTTTTCAAAATGCTTATTGCAACATATGCATCGACAAATTCTAAAGTTTTTGTCGCGAAATAAACCATAAGTGATATATAGAACATGATATTGAAAAGAAATTTTGACCATTCATTCAGTTTTCGCGGTTTTAAATTATTTATTCAAAATCAATGCAACAAGTTGTTTGCTTTTTTATTGTTTTGATAGTAATTCTGACATTACAAGCCAAACAGGTAGACCTCTATACTTGCAATTTTTTCAAAGTTGGCCTACCTTCTCTTCATTGTACCATGGTACCATGCATACAACAAGATTTTAATAATTCAATATTTTTCCTCTTTTTTAAAATCAGTTAAACAGCGGAAACGGCGGAAAAATTAAAGAAATACCTGGAGTTTCTTTCAAAAAAATATAATCTAAACAGTTCTATCTTTTAATTACATGGCAAAACTCATGGTACAATGAAGAGAAGGTAGGCCAACTTTGAAAAAATTGCAAGTATAGAGGTCTACCTGTTTGGCTTGTAATGTCAGAATTACTATCAAAACAATAAAAAAGCAAACAACTTGTTGCATTGATTTTGAATAAATAATTTAAAACCGCGAAAACTGAATGAATGGTCAAAATTTCTTTTCAATATCATGTTCTATATATCACTTATGGTTTATTTCGCGACAAAAACTTTAGAATTTGTCGATGCATATGTTGCAATAAGCATTTTGAAAACACCCGAATTTGAATATTTTCTGAACAATTTTTTGTTATTGAAAAGAAAACACATACATAAACAAATAAAGATGACATATTAAGCCAAGAAAATAAAAAAATTGAAATCATATGGTAGTTCTGCCCTACCTTGAATTCATTGTACCATGGCAAAACTAGCGAATTGCTATAATGTGCACCTCGCAATTTATTGATTTTGAAAATATTCTGTTTTTATTTTTCTAAACAATGTATACATACACAAAATTGGCAGAAGTCAGGCCCACTTAGAAAAAAAAAATTAAAATCAGCTGGTGGCTCTAACTTACCTTTTTATTGTACGATGCCCTCCTACCGATGCAGCAGCATCAAACCCGCACACACAAATCAGCAAAAATATTTTTTACATTAATTTTTTTACTCCTAGAGCAAGCTCTTGCACTACCTTCAGAAACTATTTCGAACTCCCACTCTTCGAGCAAAACGAACAACCTGTACTATACATGTCATCTACATAATCCTAACTTTCAACTATCATGATTTTTAAGAACTTTCAATATGATAACCATGTAGAACAATATGTCTACATTTATTTTTCAAATTATATATATTTTCAATTTGGATTGCAATTAAATTTTTACAACAAAACAAGCGTACACACCTAATATCTCTCCCAGATTTATATTTAATTAATATGGCAACATAGGTATGCAAAGTATATGTCTCCTTTAGACTTGACGACTTTGGTCGATATTTATTCAACACATTATAGAAACAACACCAAATCAAATATGCACTATTTTGCTGGAGATTTTCTTACCAATAATAAACAGTAAGCCCCAAGTACACAATTGTAAAAAAAACTATTATGCTTTGTTCCATATCTCTCTCCGATCAACTTTTCAGTTAATATGGCAACATAGGTATGCAAAGTAAATGTCTCCTTTAGACTTGACGACTTTGTTGGGCGATATTATTTTCTAACAGATGATAGAAACAACACCAAATCAAATTTGCAATATTTTGCTGTAGATTTTTTTACCAATAATAAACAAATAATCTCCAATCTCATGTTCCTTCACTTTTTAAACTGGTAAAAATTTAAGAGGAGACATGTGTAAATATGGCTATCCTTTGAATTGTGTTGCTATTCTGGGTAGGGGAAAACGTTTTGAGTAAAAAGTTAAGCAGGCAATGGAACAGAGCTTCATTCACTTTAACTGAACGTTTGACCCTCAAACCTTATTTTTTATCCATTTATTATCAATGTTGAAATTGAAACAATTGACGTAAATGGATGCTTAGGTGCCCAACATTACGTTCCTAAACATAGATTTTTATACAGATCCATGGCAAAATTACAGAAGGCATAACAAAGCTACCTCCTAAAAACATTATTCTTTTGGTGCCTCTATTCTGTCAAAACATATACAAATATACATATATGTATGTGTATTGTTTTGAATTAAAAAGAAAATAATTTAAAATTACAGGGTGAGCTAAAAAAAAAACTGCAAAAAAGTCAAAGAACATAGTTTTAACATTTTTTTTTTAATTTTTTTGAATGAAAGCAAGAAATGTCGGAAATAGCATCAAATTTTAGAATAAGTTTAGATTTCTTTGAATTGGTCACCTTTGGCACGAAATGTGGCCTGAAAATACGGCCAATGAAATCGCCACACGCTGCCCGATTGTTGCTCTGCACTTGCTTGAGGTGATCGACACTTTGGTACTTTTTCAGTGCCAAACTTGCTTTCCAAAATATTTCGGACACAATAGTCCAACGGATTGGTATCCGGAGATTTTGGTGGAGGAACTCACTTTGTAATCATTCTTGGGTGGCACGTGTTGAATGCGATGGTGCTGAGTCCTGTTGGAATGTCCAAGGTCTGTTCGCGTGTCCAAGACTTTAATACACCCTCCAGAATATTTTTGCGACAATATTCGGCATTTATTCTGATGCCACGGTCGATTAATACAAGCGGAGAGCGGCCATTGGCTTTTATGGCGGCCCAAACCATCACCATTGTCGGCGCTTGAGTTCTGGAATGATTTCTCATCGGAGAAAACCAAATGCGGCAGTTCACCACTTTCCGCCAATCGAAGCAACTCTTTGTTACGGTGTAGGTTCTTGCACTTTTTGGATGGTTCAATGGCTTTACCCCGAGCTCATTTTTCAATAATTGCCGAATAGAATATTGCGAAATGTAAAGCTCACGAGCCATTTTTCGGCCACTGCGACGCGGGTTTCGATCAAGTGGCTTCATTAATTTTCGAACCATTTCTGCTGATGTTTCTGTTTTCTTCCGTCCACTTCCTTGACGTTGGGTTACGTTACCAGTATCACGGTAACGAGCGATGGTACGAGACACAAAAGATTTATTCACATTTAAATGCTGGAGTGCTCTAACGATAGCCACTTGTGGTTTTCCAGCCAAATATAAAGAAATCACTCTATCACACTTGAATTGCATCACGAATAACTCACCAAAATGCTTTTGTACGCTTGTAAACAGTGAGTTGTCACTGGAATAATTTTAACAGCTGTCGGACGAGTGGCTTAGAAATGACAGCAGTCTGAAGTTGGTTGCAGTTTGTTCATCTCACCCTGTATATGTGTGCGTATTGTTTTGAATTAAAAAGAAAATTATTTCAAATTCAGATACAACAAGAATGCATAGGCAATAAAGCTAGGCGTTGATTTGTGTTACGTCATTCATTTCGGCGTCGAAGCAATACTACGACGGCCGAAATTTCGCGTCTTTTTTAGGTTTTACGCTTTACGGGAAATGTTGTTCGAACGCCCAACATAAAACTCCTCCTTTTGCCATTCATTTTTATCATGGTAGAAGAATACAGGTAGAAGCATTAGCGCTTGGAAACATTGATATGTCAAAATTTTTAAATGTCTTTTCAAATATAAGTAGATTTGTATATATTTTCTTATACGACGTCATTTTGAGGTTATTATAATACGTGTTTTCTATAATTTTTACAAATATAAATAATTTTTCATTCAACATTGTCCCAGCAGGTGTGTCGATGCGTCTACCTATATTCTTCCACCATGATTTTTACTCATCCATGACCTAAGTAATTTTAGTAATTTTGCTTAAGGAATAAAAAAATTGTTTTCTTGGTGTTATTTAGTTTATATTAAAGGGATTATTTTTATATTTACTAATTATATTGTTTTAACTTAATTACCTAAAACATATACAATACATTCTTAGAAAAATAGCATTGATATTGATGTGTGTGTATGTGTGTTAACAAAAGTAATGTCAAAAATAACCTAAAAAATGTTGTTGCTTCCACAAAGACTTCCAAAAGTTGCAGTAGAACACACGAGATGATGTTGTTATATCTTTTCCGATAAAATCATAAAAAAATTAACGATGGAAAACTTTAGCGCGGCAGCAGTACCTCTCTCCTCATCCATTGCTTCTGGTCTAAACGCGATTTGGAATAGTTTCAATTGTATTCTCAGCCTCATCATCCTTTTCTTGGACACCAATGACACCACCACCGCCGCCACCACCACGCTATAGAATTATCATTAATTAAAAATAAATAAAATAATGAAAAAATACATTTGTTTTAAACAAAAGTAATTCAAAAGCAGCTTGCAGTACCGTACAAGAGATGTCAGTTGGGATTTTATTTTGGTTGGTTTCAAAATAATCGAAGGATCCAAAATCATAAGGAAGTTGTTACAAAATTCAAACCAAACACATCCACCAAACCAATTTCAGTGAACAAACGACAATGTTGACATTTTGGTGGTATAGAGAGAGAGAGAGAGATAGCACGCCACAGACACATATACAAGTGGTTTGATATGTTGGAATTTTTTTTTTGGTTCAAAAAAAAAACATACAATCGTGTTTTTTTTTAAATAGAATAAATAAGAAAGAAAAAAAAAAAAGAAAGTGAAAGAAAAAAGAAAACATCGTTATAAACTCTATTTTTTAAACAAATACTCTACAAAATTAAATACAAATATACGAAAGTATAAATGAATTGCCGGAATTATGAATGGACATACCAGTTACATAAAGAATTAAGAACGGATGTGGTGTAAAACTGAAAAAAACTTGCAGAAATTAAGTGGAAAATATAGGTGTGTCTGGTTAACAATTGTGAGCGGTTGGAGAGAGACATGTTGACAGTTCTTTCAGTTAGAGTTTGCAAATTCTTTCTGGACAAATTTCTTCTTGCAATCACTTGCAACTCTTCTTCTTCTCATTCATCAACATTCAATTAAATGTTTTCTATTGTTTGTTTATTTTTTTGTTCTCTCAATTTGAAAATATTTTTTTTGGCACTAGCAAAACTATATGTTTTTGGAGAATACTTCACAACATATGAAAAACGTAAATATTAATATGCAATAAAAAAATAAAAGACTATTACAAACATTTTCAGACAAACGCCATTAGCAACACGTTTAAAGGATTCCGGGGAACACATCAAATGTATCTTTCTTTTATTGCACATATTTTAATTTTTAAAACTTGTGATGCTTCCTCTCTTTTAATTCTTTTAATGGGGGACGAATTGGTTTGTTTTGACAAATCAGCTGATTAGTTGTAAGCTTCTGCAGGAATACCGACTGTTTACTTTTCGCATTTTCCTTGCAAAAGAGAATAAAACTACCTTACTCTTTCAGAAAGATGTTGCTGGACAATTCCTGCAGGAAAAGTAATCAGACACACCTAATATGCATGTTGGGGCATTCAGATCATGGTACAAGAATACAGGTAGATCATGGTAGAAAAATATAGGTAGACGCGTCGACACAGCTGCTGGGACAATGAACTGTCAAACCTATTTTGGAATTAAAAATGTTGAATGAAAAATTATATAAATTTGCAAAAATTGTTGAAAAACACGGATTATAATAACCTCCGAATGATGTCGTATAAGAAAACATATAAAAATCTACTTATATTTGAAAAAACATTTAAAATTTTTTGACATATAAATGCTCCCAAGCGTTGATACATCTACCTGTATTCTTCTGCCATGAGGTAGATGCATCAACGCTTAGGAACATTGATATGTCAAAAAAATGTAAATGTCTTTTCAAATATAAGTAGATTTTTATATGTTTTCTATACGACGTCAATCGGAGGTTTTACAACAATTTTTGCAAATTTAAATAATTTTTCGTTCAAAATTTTCAATTTCAAAATTAGTTTGACAGTTCATTGTCCCAGCAGCTGTCTCGATGAGTCTGCCTATATTCTTCTACCATGGAACTATTGTTTATGCCAAGTACTGTGATTTCTTACTTGTTGGCTGTGAACCCATAAATCGGCCGGAGGTGGGTATTTAACCACACTCTCATAGATGTCGGGCAACGTGTAAAAGGGCCATAGGCTCTAAATGGGGTTTCAATCCAAATATGACACACTGACTATTCAAAAGCGTGCTTAGACCTGTTCTAACTAAGCATCAATAGTCTGGTGGACAGCTATGGATAAAAAATGTAACACCAAAATACTACAGAAAGTCCAACGAATGTGCTTCTCTACATACCATCAAAAATTTTGACAGGTAACAACGGGATAATAAATAGAAAATTTTGTATCGGACCGGATATCTGAAACAATTGTAGCTGCCTCTTGTGAAACATTAAACTCGTGGATCGAAGGATTCCTACCACAAATGCCGACTGAAAACTGTTGTTACACAGACGGCTCAGTGTTAGAGAAGAGAGCGGGACCGGGGACTTTTTTGAAGAACCAAAGACCGAAATATCTTTCCGCTTGCAAAATTATCTTTCAACCAAATGCCTTTCATAAATCAAGTGCCACCATGACATTAGTCGCACGACTCGTTCTAGTTAAGTCTCCCGTGCAAATATTTTGTTGTACTGTATGGATCCCGTATTTCATTCAAAGGTTCATAATGGCTTTTGAACCAACGAAGAATATAGGCAGTCTCATCGAAACAGCTGCTGGGACAATGAACTGTCAAATCAATTTTGAAATTGAAAATTTTGAATGAAAAATTATTCGAATTAGTAAAAGTGCTTGAAAATTCTAATTATAACAACCTCCGATTGGTGTCGTATAAAAGTCATAAAATCTACATATTTAAAAAAAAAAAAATTAATTGATACCAAAGTTCCCAATCATTAATGCTTCTACCTGTATTCTTCTACCATGGATGTATCTAAACACACTGGATCAAAAAAATAAAATAAAAATAAAACAGTGGGTTAATCCTCAATACTTTAAATTCGTTTTAATACTGTAAACTAGTTGGTTCGGTTCAAATGTTTTTTTTTTTTTTTTTATAAAAAAAAAAACAAAATTACTCCAACTGATCACAACAAACAATTTACAGTTTAGATCTTCTCTATAAGTTTTGATTGAAGAACAGATTGAAAATCGAAAAATGTTTTCCTTGTGAATATTTTTCCGCGCGGATATTCAGACTTCTAGCTTAATTGCGTACGGATTTTTGAGGAAGAGAAGAGCCGTCAGCACCGAAGGTGAAAAAGCAAAATTGTCGTGACATTAAAATGTCGATGCACGCAAAACGTGTCAATGTTTGATGCGGATTTTGGATTTTTTTCCTGTGAAAGCGAACAAAATTTAAAAGAAGGATATTGGCAACATTTGGTTTCAACAGGATGGCACAACGTGCCACAATGCCAAGGCTACAGTCGATCTTGAAAAAAAAAATATTTAATTTTTGAAAAAAATTATTTACTTATAGAATTATTATGCCATGTTTACGTTAGAATTTTTGCAGGGTTCACTGACTTTAAGAGGATTTAGTATGAGTAATGGATATGACAATTTTAATCCAAATCCAGTAGGTTAACCCATTTATATGTAAACGTACTGTTATATTCTTTTTTAAATTATTTTTGCGACTTAGAACATTAGTGAAATCAATTTGCACACAAATAGGCTACACAAGGTACGAAAAAGACCCATTAGCGTTGCCATACTCGAAAGCTATTTATTTTGATCGAAATCCGCGTCACAGTGGCCGAAAAATGGCTCGTGAACTGAACATATTGGAATATTCCATTCGGCAAATATTGAAAAATGAGCTCGGGGTGAAGCCATTGAAATTTCAAAAAGTGCAAGAACTTACACCGCAACAGAAAGAAAATAGACTCAAAAGAGTTTGGCCGATGAGAAAAAATTCGTTGTCCAACAGTTTGTAAACAAACAAAATGATCGTGTTTACTTGCTAAAGAGGTCAGCTGAGCCATGGTGATGGTGTGGGCCGTCATAACAGCCGATGATCGATCTACGCTCGTATTAATCGATCGTGCCATCAGAATAAATACCAAATATCATCGCGAAAATATTCTGAAGGGTGTATTAAAGCCTTGGGCACGCAAACATTTTGGCCGCAGACCTTGGACATTCCAACTGGACTCAGCACCATCGCACTCAGCAACCGCCACCCAAGAATGGTTACAAAATGAGTTTCCTCGCTTAATTTCCAGCGCACAATGGTCCCCAAAATCTTCGGATACCAATCTATTGGACTGTTGTGTCTGGAGTAGTTTGGAAAGCAAGTTTGGCACTAAAAAATACCAAAGGGTCGATCACCTCAAACAAGCGCTTCGCCTGGAATGGGCCAAAATACCGCAGAGGAACATTCGTGCAGTGTGTGACGGTTTCATTGGCCGTTTGAAGGCCAGAATTCGTGCCAAGGCTGACCATTTCTAAATTTTGATGCTATTTCCGACATTTTTTGCTTTCACTTAATAAAATTTAAAAGCAAAAATGTACAAATTATGGCTTTGTGCAGTTTTTTATGTCACCCTGTATAATTTCTTTCAAAGCGGACAAAATTTAAAAGAAGGGTATTGACAACATTTGGTTTCAACAGGATGGCACAACGTGCCACACAGCCGAGGCCATAGTAGATTTTGAAAGAAAAAATATTTATTTATACAATTATTACATCCTTTTTTAATTTTTTTTGTGACCATGAACATTAGTGAAATCAATTTGCAAACAAATAGGTCACACAAGATACGAAAAAGACCCATTAGCGTTGATATACTTGAAAGCTATTTATTTATCCTTAATTATTAATGAGTTGAGGAATTATCACTCGAAAAAAATGCCTTCCGTGTGAACAGAATTCTACGCGGATTTTCCTGCTTGGGCTGATTATGAATTTCAAATACCGAATTTTTAAACACTTCCATTAAAAATATGTGGCCAAAATCGTTAAAAAACCGAATATTTCAATAACTAATCGTTGTAGCTAAAAAATACTGCCGTATTTAAATTATAGGGTGCAATGTGTTTGGCAAGATAATAGATTTACAGAAGAAAAATGTGGATATGGTGTGTACCAGAGTTGAATATGATATAAGCTTTGCTTGGGAACGGATAGTGCCATCTTAAAGTAATATTATATATGTGGGAAGGTAGTGCTATTTACATATGGTCATGGATACTTTGATCTTTTTTTTTAGTTTATTTACTTTTTTGTTTTGGAAAACGCACACAAAAATTTTTTAACGTATTTATGTTTTGTAACAAATAAATAAATGATTCTATAATTGTTCGTTTTGTTTGTGGTGTATTTGTTGTTATTTCATGTAAAATTTTAGCTACAGTTTTTATTATTTAATAATTATAGAAAAGAAAACCCTGAACAAAACGTTCATTATCTTGGTGATTTATATTATTCATTTTGGGATGTGTTCCGATTTAAGCATTCAATTATTCTTCCTTTTTCTCAACTTCAACTTCAATTTGTTCTTCTTCTTCATCTTCGGGACAAGGTCGGCTAAGTATTTCTTGACATAGGGCAATATAGTCCTGCAAATATAATTGTTGTATGGGATATATGATGGATGGGTAGATGGACGGATGGATGGATGCATGGCAATATGACCCATAATGGATTGATGGATGTGCATTTTATTTGAGTGGTGATTAAAGCATAAACATATAAGAGTGGGTGGCGTGGGTGTGCGGCAAAGAAAAAAGTAGTAAGAAAAAATAAATGATTAATTTTTAATATAGATCAAAGCTTATTAAAAATAAATTGTACTATGAGCCTTGTTATCCTGAAGTAGATGAAATATCCAACCTAAAATGAGTGTTCCATAAAGCATCGTGTTCCAAAAGCCCCATAAAAGAGGAAAGGAGAGCTTCAAATAATAGAAATATTAAAAATGAAAATCAAAATTATTATATTCAGAATTATTCAAATTCAGTACAAAATTGATGTTGGAACATTGTTGAATCGTCGTGAGGCTTTTGTCGGACCGCAATACAAAATTTAATGGTGAACCCATGGTACAATGAAGAGAAGGTAGGTCAACTTTGAAAAAATTGCAAGTATAGAGGTCTACCTGTTTGGCTTGTAATGTCAGAATTAGTATCAAAACAATAAAAAATCAAACAACTTGTTGCATTTGTTTTTAAAAAATAATTGAAAAAACGCGATAACTGAATGAAAGGTCAAAACTTCTTTTCAAAAGCATGTACTATATATCTCTAAAGGATTATTTCGCTACAAAAACTCTAGATTTTGTAGGTGCATACGTTAAAATAAACATTTTGAAAACACCCCAATTTCAATGTTTTCTGAACAATTTTTTTGTTATTGAAAAGAAAACACACACATAAACAAAAAAAGATGACGTATTAGGCCAAGAACATAAAAAAATTGAAATCATATGGTAGATCTGCCCTACCTTAATATCATTGTACCATGGGTGAAACCACGGTAGAAAAATATAGGTAGACGCATCGATTCAGCTGTTGGGACAATGAACTGTCAAACCAGTTTTGAAATTGAAAATGTTGAATGAATTAAATAAATAATATTAAACCTCCGAATGACTACTACTTATAATTCAAAGAACATATTAATGTTCCCAAGTGTCAATGCATCTATCTGTATTCTTCTATCATGTAAGGACGCTCAAAGCCAACTGAGAATATTGCTGCTCCAGCCCAAAAAGAGGAAGGAAAACTTAAGTGTATCCATCTCTATCGTTTTCTTTTATACCCTCCACCATAGTATGGAGGGTATATTAAGTTTGTCATTCCGTTTGTAACACCTCGATATATACATTTTAGACCCCACAAAGTAGAATATAAATTCTATGTCGATTCAGCGATGCCCGTCCATCTGTGGAAATCACTCTAGCTTCCGAACGAAATATAGTAGATTGATAAAATTTTACTCAAGTGCATATTATGTTTGCAGGACTTTTGGTATAGAAAATGGGCCATGTAGGTCCACGTTCTGGTATAGCCCCCACATAATGGTCCCTCCCCTTTTCGGTATTTTAGTGATTTAAGCGACATTATTTACCAAAAATGTTTCAAATTCGGTATTTGAACTTCGTAACGAATGCTACAGCCTATGACAGAAAATTGTCTATACAGATCCACCTCTTCGTATAGCCCCCATATAACGGTACCTCCCGATATTCGGTATTTTGAAGATTTTAACGACATTATTTACTGGAATTGTCTCGAATTTGGTATTTGAAGTTCGTAACGGATGCTACAGCCTAAGGCAAAAAATTGTCTGTGTAGGTTCACGTCTTCATATAGCCCCCATTTAACTGTACCTCCCGATATTCGGTATTTTGATGATTTTAACGACATTATTCACCAGAATTGTTTCAAATTTGGTATTTGAAGTTCGTAATGGATGCTAAAGCCTATGACAAAAAATTGTCTGTGTAGGTCCACGTCTTCATATAGCACCCATATAACTGTACCTCCCGATATTCGGTATTTTGATGATTTTAACGACATTATTCACCAGAATTGTTTCAAAATCAACAGTTCACCTCCAATAACTAAATTTAACCAGCGATTGTATTTCCATCTGAACTTCTTAACTTAGTCTTTAGTCAAAGGGTCTCTTCTACTATTATTTCTTCAAATTTTGATTGATTTTGTTGGCAACAAAAAAATACTCTGGAACGTGGTACAATAATATCAAGGTAGGGCTATTATACCATATGATTTTATTTTTTTTTATTTTCTTGGCTTAATATGTCATATTTATTTATTTATGTATGTGTTTTCTTTTCAATGACAAAAAATTGTTCAGAAAAGATTCAAATTCGGGTGTTTTCAAAATGTTTATTTCAACGTATGCATCGACAAAATCTAAAGATTTGTAGCGAAATAATCCTTTAGAGATATATTGTACATGATTTTGAAAAGAAGTGTTGACCGTTCATTCAGTTATCGCAGTTTTAAATTATTTATTCAAAATAAATGCAACAAGTTGTTTGATTTTTTATTGTTTTGATACTAATTCTTACATTACAAGCCAAACAGGTAGACCTTCTCTTCATTGTACCATGCTCTGGAATACACTTAACAAAAAATAATAGTTTAAAGTGGTTTTATATTTGTTTCTATTCATGATAACAATGACTCCTGTAATTTTATTTTAAAACTAGTGCCTTATAATCTAATATACTAACCAATAGACACATTACAGTACATTACATCCTTAGTTATATAACATCAAACACCACAAGGGGGCAAAAAGGTAGATGATATGGATTGCAGAATTACATGAGATAGAGAGGGTTTTTCTCTCGCTATGACGATATTAACAAATGGTTGTACATATATACAAATAGAACAATAATGTAGACGATTTTTGCTGGAATTTGTAATTGTGATGCTATTTCCTTAGACTATACTATGAAAGGTTATTGCGAGATTGACTTAAAAACAAATTTTGTAGCCGATTCTAAATCTTCTTTCTTGGAAAAAAAGTTCTCCAAAAATATGATACATTTTCATTTTGTTTCAAATAAATACAGGATGAGATGAAAAAACTGCAACCAACTTCAGACTGCTGTCATTTCCAAGCCACTCGTCCGACGGCTGTTAAAATTATTCCAGTGACAGATCATTATATTGTTTACAAGCGTACAAAAGCATTTTGGTGAGCATTTTCCAGAAAAAAAGTTATTCCTGATGGAATTTACGCGGGATAGTGTGATTTCTTTATATTTGGCTGGGAAACCAAAAGTGGCTATCGTTAGAGCACTCCAGCATTTAAATGTGAATAAATCTGGTAGCGTGATACTGGTAGCGTAGCCCAACGTCAAGGAAGTGGACGGAAGAAAACAGCAACAACAGCAGAAATGGTTCGAAAAGTAAAGAAGCGACTTGATCGAAACCCGTGTCACAGTGGCCAAAAATGGCTCGTGACTGGCTGAACATATCGCAATATACCATTCGGCAAATATTGAAAAATGAGCTCGGGGTAAAGCCATTGAAATTCCAACAGAAAGAAAATTGACTCAATAGAGCTAAAGAGTTGCTTCGCTTGGCCAAAAGTGGTAGACTGCCGAATTTGGGTTTCTCCGATGAGAAAACATTCGTTGTCCAGCAGTTTGCAAACAAACAAAATGCTCGTGTTTACTTGCCAAGAGGTCAGCTGGAAATGAGAACCTTCGGTTGGCCACGAGAACTCAAGCGCCGGTCATGGTGATGGTGTGGGCCGCTATAACAGCCTATGGTCGCTCTGCGCTCGTATTAATCGATCGTGGTATCAGAATTAATGCCGAATATTATGGCGAATATATTATGAAGGTTGTATTAAGCCTTAGGCGCGCAAACTTATTCCATCAGAACTCAAGCGTCGGCCATGGTGATGGTGTGGGCCGCCATAACTGCCGATGGTCGCTCTTCGCTCCTATTAATCGACCTTGGCATCAGAATAAATGCCGAATATTATCGCGAAACTATTCTAGAGGGTGTATTAAAATCTTGGGCACCCAAACCTTGGACATTCCAACAGGACTCTCAGCACCATCGCACTCAGCATGCGCCAACCAAGAATGGTTACAAAATGACGTTCCTCGCTTCATTTACAGCGCACAATGGCCACTAAAATCTCCGGATACCAATCCGTTGGACTATTGTGTCTGGAGTATTTTGGAATGCAAGGTTGGCACTAAAAAATACCAAATTATCGATTACCTCAAGCAAGCGCTTCGCCGTGAATGGGCCAAAATACCGCAGAGCAACATTCGGGCAGCGTGTAACGGTTTCATTGCCCGTTTGAAGGCCATAATTCGTACCAAAGGCGACCAATTCGAACAAATCTAAACTTATTCTAAAATTTGATGCTATTTCCGACATTTTTCGCTTTCATTCAATAAAATTTAAAAAAAATGTAAAAATTATGGCATTTGATTTTGTTGCAGTTTTTTATCTTAGCCTGTATATCCAAGGAGAAGTGTTCGCCAATTTTGATATTAACTTAGAATAGTAGGAGAATAGAAAAATCTCTCTATATCTGTAATCAATTCCATTAAAGGTATTTAGATTAGAATTCCCCTCTTCTAAATATCTAATGTTTTTAAGGAACCTATTCTGAAACTTTTGAAAGAATTGGATTATAAGCTTGATTAGTTCCAAAAAAAATGCTTTTTCAAAGTTAAAATTTATTTAAAAGGCATGAAAAAGTTTGAATTTCCAAGGCCCTCACTTAAAATTCCATTTGATTTAAACTTCCCCAAGTGTCATCCACTGTGCTATTGCAAGAATCTCTTTTATGTGTTTCTCTTTTAAAAAGGCGGAAAGAGCACTCTTAAAAAGGCGGAAAGACAATAATCTATGGAAGATGTGTGTTTGTTTTTATTATTTTGTTTCTTAATTTGTTTCAAATTAAATTTATATATAATTCGTAAATAAGCACATTACTCTATTTTGGGGGATTTTCTTTCATCATCATTTCATATATAATTAAATTAATTAAACATTTATTAAATCACTAAGTTAGATTATTAATTTTATTATATATATTCTCGTATTTCCTTATTTATTATTTATTTTTTGTGGGGGTGTTGTTTTAATATTAATTTTAAATTATAATCTGTTTTTTTACTTATTATTATTATCGACTTCTTACTAGAAAAATATTGAATTATTTTGTGTATTAAAAATTAAAAGAAGAAATATGCTAATGTCAAAAAATTAAAAAAAAAAACTAAGAAATTAAGAATAGTCTTGAAAATACCATTGAAAAATGCTTAAAAAGGTTAATGAACCATGAGAGTTATTGTTGATTGGTTTCTTTGTTTATAAAAACAAAATTTGGTTACTATTCATATAAAAAATTAGGTGTGTTTGTGCGTGTGGTTGTTGGGAATTGCAAAAAAATTTAAGTCATACTTATCTAATTTAAACCACTGGTGTTGATGCCAGCATAGATTATTTGAAACACATTTTTTTAGAATTTTTACTGTTTGCAAACAAACCGCCTAAAAGATAGTTGAAAATGTTCTATTAAGTTTACAAAATGTTACGCTTGGTGAATGATAAGTAATCATTTTTCTAGGAACTCTACAAAAATTAAAAAAAAAAAAAAGTATTTAACAAAACAAAAATGAAAGTCCCAAGGACTAGAAAATCAGCTAAACCGACAAACATAATGTATTTGCAATTGAGGTTTCCAAAACTCTGAAATCCATTGAAATTAAAACAGACCCATAGAATAAAATCTTTAGAAAAAATGGTTCCCAGTGATTTGCGAAACAAATCCTCCGAGCTATATTTTTCATTCTATGAAAAACCAGTAAAGAGATACATATGATACCCTACCCCACTTTGCATATTTAGTAGGGCTTCACCTCCCAATTAAAAGCATTTATGGAAGAATTAAATCATACAAGCTATGATTATAATCATAATTTAAAGTTTAAAGGACTGAATATGCCGAAGCATTTGTATCTTTTCAATTCGGGCTTGTATTGCCCCCGTTTGATGTACAATTAACTAAAAATCGGATAGAGATATATGTATGGGAGCTATATCCAAATCTGAACCGATCTCGATAACATTTCGAAAATATATTTTTGAGCTGTATTTGATATATTTCCCTAAATATCGTTGTTACAGAGTGCATATTACGGCTGCGGAGGACAAATATAAGAAATCGGATCAACAATACAATATATATGGGAGCCATAGTTATATCTGAACAGATTTCGAATTTGGCATACTTATTTGCAGGCATAATTTGGTCGTATGTGCAAAATTCCATAATATTTTGCTGATATTACAGGCTTGATGCACAAAAAAAGGCAAATCGGACGGAGCTATATCTATATTTTTACCGATTATCTCGTCCTTGGACCAAACAAATGATTTGTGCAAAATTTCATCTGGATCGGACAATAAATGAGGCCTGAGACATGGACTGACGGACGGACATGCATAAATCGACTCGTTTCCTTATGCCTGTTACAACAAATGCACAAATACATTATACCCTGATCTCCTTGCGGTGTAGGGTATAAAAATCATCGAAAAAATTTTTTTTGAAACAATTAAATATATTTTGGCTTACGTTACGTTATTCAAAATATTGATGCTTTATGGAGGAGATACCGAAGGAGTGGACCAATATTATCCAGTTCGCATCTGACCTTACTCTGATATAAATATTACGACGCGGCAGGTTTGAGCTATATCAACTACTTCCTCCCCTTTATATGAGATGCGATTTTTTGGAAAATGTGGAAAATTTGTGGAGTTGGTACCAGAAAGAGTGGACAAACATATCCCATAGTTTAATTGGATCTGTGGTTGATGTTTTGCTCCCTTGTGGGGAAGGTATCAGAAGGAGTCGTCTGATCTATTACATTTTTATATTTATTTCATTATGGAACTGAACTGATTGGGATATGCGAAATTTGAAGACAATCGAACACTTCTTTTACATTTGAAAAGAGTTATTGTAATTCAAAATGTTGACCCTTTATTAGGGAGGTATTTGAAGGAGTTATCCGATCTATCTCATGTGAGTTTAATTTTCTTTGACCTTTTACGAAGTACGTACCAGAAGGAATTGGCCGATATTGCACATCTCCGAACTCAATCTAAGTTTGGCAAAAACATTGCGAAGTACCAAGTTTGGAAAAAATCGGATAATTCTTCCCAGACGGATGGACACCCCTAGAACGACTTCAAATATCCTAAAATGGATTTGGTCCAAAGAGACCTGGAGTCTAACAATGAGGCACGTTTTGGTCGTAGCAAATGATATATATACCCACTATAGAGATATAGCTGAGGATTTTAAAAAAACGAAACGAAGAAATCACATTTTTGTAAAAGAATAAAGCTTCAATATTTTTTTAGAGAAAGATAGAAGCATTCTTACTTTAATTTTTTTTCTGTGGTATAAAAAAACTCGGCGAGTAAATTTTCCATAGGGGAACATCATTTCCAACAGAAAACATTTCATTTTTAAATCAAAGAAAACATTTCCATAGAAAATATTCCACCAGTGAGTTTTTTCTATATATTTTTAAAGCTATTTCAAAAGAAACAAATTTACAGCGAATATATTTCATATTGTATAACATTTTTTGACAATTATTTGTTTAAATAAAAAATAATTCTTGCATCTATTTTTTAAGGAAAAATGTGTTTGATGATGGTTTGGCTAAAGGTCAATAAAACAATTTTCTTTACTTATCTCCATTTTTCTCTTTATTATATCATCTTCAGGGATATTAACTTTGTTTTAGAGGAAAACGTCTACTCTAATTTAACGTTAGGCGAACGATCATCGAACATATTAAAATCTACCAGGTCAACAATAAATAACAACAGCGAAAAAAAAATGGTATCCATGGAAAATTAAAGTAGCAAATGTTTTTAATTGTTTTTTTATGAAAATTTATTCTATGGACAGACAAATCTCAATAGGGTCCTAGATCCTTAATGTTTTCTATAGATAAGCAGAACATTAAATTTAAAAAAAATGTGTTTCAATTTTGTAGTGATTTTTATTTTCTTTTTTTGTAACAAATTGGCAATTGCACGAAATTTAATTTATTCAAAATTCACACACGCACAGACACACCCACCATACTTTAAGCAGTCACTAGAGTTGGATGTGCATTATTCCTTTATTTTGTGTGATATAAAGCAGCAAACTTGAATTGAGTTTTGTTGGTTTTTTTTTTTTTGTCAAATTTTATTACATTACCGCACATGTACAAATAAATACTATACACAAGAAGCTTTAGTTATGGTATTGTGCGTACGTTGCTTTTTTTACAAAAAAATAGAATATGTTGGTTCATCAAATACACAACAATAAACAAGCAGCGGACAAAAGATGGCTACTATGGAGGAATGGGGGGTTAAGAATGTACAATGGAAAACTTCTAAAACACAACACAAATACATTATTGAGTTATTGGCTGATTGATTGATTGATCTTGATCTTGATGATGATGTTTATTGTTGCAGTTAGGTTTACAATAACAACATGTTGCTAGATTTAAATAAATAATGTGAGAGATGTACTGCAAAGAGTTGTCCAATTTGTTTTGTTTCTGATTTTGTTATGATGTTGTTGATGATGACGATTTGGCAAATGTTGAATTCCTTGGCTTATGTTTATTGTAGAGTAGTAGTGGTAGCTGGATGATAAAGGACACGCTTGTAGGACACACTCTAGAGTCTTACATATACACAACACGACCGAAAGAAAGAAACACACACAGCAGTAGAAATCTCAGATTCACATATAATATGCATAAGATGAACTGACCATAATGCTGCTGGGGTTTTTGGAATGGTTGGTACTGGTAAATTATAACAATGGTAAAACAAAGCCAAAACAAATAGAAAATAGTTTGTGGTACTGTATGTGTTGTGTGTGTGTGTGCTGGTGGTTTGAATTGATGTTGTGGTTTGTTGTTTCTTGGGTTTTTTTTTTCCTGATTCAAAAATGAAAATTCGTTGCTTGTATAAATGTTGTTTTTTGTTTATTAAGATCGTCTAGTTTTCATTAAATGTTTGTTTTTCTCATAATGAAAGTCAGAAGATGTTGCAGACCGACCATCGTCGTTTAACCTAAAATTGGATTTTGTTTTCTTTCTTTGTTTGTGGTAAATAATAAAAACGTATAAATCTCCTCCTCATTTCACAAAATAATACAAAATTAACAATTCTGCTGGTTTGATGTGGTATAAAAGGGATGATGATCCTTCCTCTACTATCTGATCTTTAGCAATAAGTCGTTCGTTTCTCTGTCTCTGTTTATTTTGGGGTAAAGGATTGGGGAGGCGGGGTTCGTACTCTTTCAATACAAAAATCCTCTTAATTTCAATTATTATGGTTACATGATTTTTTGTTTTGTTTTATTCTCAATTAGAATTCTTTTTTTTTCTACGTTTTTGTTGTTCTTAAAGTTTTTGTGTGCTTTTTATTAATTTTTCTTTTTTTATTTAATTTTTTTCCATAATTTTTTTGTTTGTTTATGTATAAGTATATTTATTATTATAATTTTAGTTGTTGTAGTTGTTGTTTTTTTTTTTTTTTGTTTTGTAAATGCAAAGAGTTTGTTTTTGGAAGGAGGTGAACAATTTAATAAAAGATCAAAAGAGAAAAAGAGTAGAGTAGAAATTGTTTTGGTGTGTTTTTTGTTAAAAAACAAAAACATTTAAAATTAAATAAACATAAGAGAGTGTGTGTGTGTGTGGGAGGAAAGGAAAAAAGGGAAACGATATATGAATTTAATAATTGTTTTGTTACATTTAAAATAAATTTCATTTTAAATTTACCGCTCGTAGTGGCATTTTGAAGTTGGCTGCTGCCTGCAGCTGTATTTGATAAGCTAAGCTATGAATTTTGAAGCCATAAAGTCTGCAAATGAAGAAAATGGAAATGGAAACCATGTTATTTAAAAAGGGTCACAGTGCAATCTATATTCTAACACCACTTACCTTGGAACAAATTGATTAGTAGGCCTTTTAGGACGATATTCTGGATGTACCATAAATAACATGTGTGGAAAACCAGTACCAAAATAAGCACCATCCGTATGATGGTGACGCGATGATTTTGGTGTATAAACATCAATACATTTGGGGCAATATACTTTAACCATTGCCTCACCAGGAATATCCGATAAACCTGAGATAAAAATAAAAACATATTAATACAAAAAATATAAAAATGGAGATTTATTAAAAATCAAAATATACTTGTTGCAATACATTGCGGAATGGCAAATGTATAAACTTGAAAATTATTCTATATCGTTATTTGCGTCTACTATTTAATATAAAAAGATGTGTGCTAAATGGAAACTAAACTAATAAATGAATATATTTTACAAATTTGGAGAAAGATTTTAAAGTGATAAATTACAGAGGAATATAGAAATTTTGATAACCTCAGCCTCGGTGCTGCAAAGATTATATAATTAACACGGGTTTTTAGTCAAAATAAAATATATTTGAATTTTCTTTCTGACGAAGAATCGTCTGCTTTTTCAAAGATTTCTCGCTTATTATCCAAAGATGGTATTCATACTGTAATCGTTAACTCCATCGGCGACTGCATCAGTATGAAGACGGTTCTGCATGATATGCTTCCTGGTCTAGAGGCTCCATCTTATATCGTTGGACATAAAGCCGAATGTGACCCCAAGGATTTTGGGGTAGTTCGTGGTCGGAATTATACAGGGTGAGATAAAAAAACTGCATCAAAGTCGAACGCCATAATTATTTACATTTTTTAAATTTATTGAATAAGATTTATTGATGATTGAATCGGAGATAGCATCAAATTTTAAAATAAGTTTAGATTTGTTCGAATTGGTCACCTTTGACACGAATTATGGCCTTCAAACGGCCAATGAAACCGTCACACGCTGCCCGAATGTTGCTCAGCGGTATTTTAGCCCATTCCCGGCGAAGCGCTTGCTTGAGGTGGTGGACAGTTTGGTATTTTTAAGTGCCAACCTTGCTTTCCAAAATACTACAGACACAATAGTCCAACGGATTAGTATCCGGAGATTTTGGTGGCGCGTGCTGAGTGCGCTGGTGTTGAGTCCTGTTGGAATGTCCAAGGTCTGCGGCCAAAATGTTTACGTGCCCAAGGCTTTAATACACCCTCTAGAATATTTTCGCGATAATATTCTAATGCTACGGTCGATTAATACGAGCGGAGAACGACCATCGGCTGTTATGGCGGTTCACACTATCACCATAGCCGGAGCTTGAGTTCTGGTGGCCAACCGAAGGTGCACATTTTCAGCTGACCTCTTTAGCAAGAAACCACGATCTTTTTTTTGTTTACAAACGAATGTTTTCTCATCGGAGAAACCCAAATTCGGCATTCGGCAGTTCACCACTTTCGGCCAAGCGAAGCAACTCTTTGGCACTTTTGAGTGTATTTTCTTTCTGTTGCGGTGTAAGTTCTTGCACTGTTTGGAATTTCAATGGCTTTACCTCGAGCTCAATTTTCAATATTTGCCTTATGGACCGAGCCATTTTTCGGCCACTGCGACGCGGGTTTCGATCAAGTCGCTTCTTTACTTTTCGAAACATTTCTGCTGATGTTCGCTTATAAACAATAAAATGAGCTGTCACTGGAATAATTTTAACAGCTGTTGAACGAGTGGCTTAGAAATGACAGCAGTCTGAAGTTGGTGCAGTTTTTTTTTATCTCACCCCGTTGTATGCCGTTGATTTAGTGCCTGTTATTTTCATACTGATCTATCGAAAGTAGGTTTCGATCTCAATGCCATCTGGATGGAGCGGAATTCCGGAAAGGTAGAGATTAAACAGTTCTGGAGATATCACCCTACCTTGGGGAACTCACTGTTTCACTCTACGAACCCTAGATTTCTTATTCCGGAATTCTACGTACGACTGGCGTCCAAACATATAATTGACGATCCAACTATCCAATAACAAATTGACTATAAATTCGGCCAGAGGTAGTGTTCTCAACGAAATTAGACTGTACGATTTCCTTTTGCCGTCATACTTGCCTGGCTTCAGTAGCGGGACCCCCATCTGGCTTCATTTTCCAGGCTTTGGGTGGCTATTGACTCTCGAACAGTAAAGAATGTATTTATGTCAGTGGCATTGAGTTTCTAATTTTTGTGTCCGAACAGACATATTTTTTAAAACAATGTGACTCGATCTGTGGTTGGTTTCGCAGATGAATTAGTTTCTTTTAAAAGAAACCATTACAAAGCCTCTCAAAATGTTTTTGCTTTATTTTATTATTATTATTTATTTTTTACTTTAGTTTTGTTTATAATTCTTATAATGGAAACCTTATTTGAAGCTTTTTGAAGAAGAATATACGAGAAACATTTTGAATTTTTGCTATTTAACGTTTTACATTTGTTTAAAAGGGTTATAGTAACCAAAAATTTACTGGCTACGCGGCAACTTAAAGTCTTTTTGTCTATATCTCGGGGTTTGTCGTTATCTATTTTGTAACTTCGCGAAATAATTCACCAAGGGATATTTATAACTTACCCAATGGCAACATAGGTTGACTTTCACAATAGACACGTGGACAGTGGCCAAAGTCTCCTGTTTGATATTTTTCAATCATTTGTGCTATGCCACGATTTGTCAAAATATAACGTGCATGTATCAAGCCATATAACATTTCAGCTGCCTGTTCGGTCATATCCGATTGCAAGGGATTATCTTCAAGCTCATCTTCTGTAAAATAAAATAGCAAAGGAAATTTATTGGCAAACCATAATTTGTATTATGTATTATAACATACCAGGTTCTAAGTCAAGAATCATATCAAGGGCCTGTCTATAATTCGGCACTTGTTCATTTAAGCCAGTTAAATTGAATTTATCTTGTATGTAGTCTTCATCAACCTGCAATGTTTGGTGGGGAGAACGATTATTTAATATTGTGTGGTATAAATAATAATGCTGTTGTAGATTTTGATATTAATACAAAATATATTGGAAGAACTCTAGTTTAGTGAAAACTCTCGGTTTTGAAACTTCTGAATAGTTTTAGATAGGCTGGATTAATATTTTCATTAGCATTAGCACATATTATTTACATCGGTTTAGTTGTTCCGGGTCGAACTATTGACTTCGACCTGGAATTTCGGGTCAAATATCCGGGAATACAGCCGTCCGTCCTCCAAGATTTTTTTTTTTTTCGGAATCAGAGCTCAAATAGCTATCACTGGAAAAAAATTGAGAGTTTCTACTAAACTAGAGTAAAGCCAATATATTGACACATATTTTTTTCAGATTATGTTTAAATTTGGATGATTTTGCATTAAATTCTTGTGGGAACATGTCCGAAAGCCTATCTTGATAATGTATATCTTAGCATGACCCATCCGAACATTCTCATTTTTTCTGGAATCCACTTTTGTGCTTGCAAGTTTCTAAACAGTAGATAATCCGTAGTGGCTTATTTGCCATGGCCGAACGATGTAGGTATTTTCCACATTTTTAAAGTATTGGAATTTTCTTGGGAATTTTGAGTTTTAAAAGACACATAACTACCATGTGTAGACAATTTCGACAGATGTTCTTTGTTAAAAATCGCCAGGTTTTACTTTATTTGTATTCCCAGTTTCTTCTTTACACAGAAATTCCGGTAATGTCATAAAACATTGTTATGGCTGTGGAAATAATCCGCAGAAGAAAGCAACATAATGAACCAAGTCACATGAAATCAACAACTACCAGCCCGAACAAATCTAAAATAAGACAGAACATGAACTATCCAAAAAAGACGACAAGCAAATCCAATAATCTCAGTAATAAGGTGTGTCAGTCCGTAAGTCATCATCATCATCATCGGTTGGTATGCCCGCCCTTTAATGCGATGATAATGCCTGACAATACTAAAGTAAATCACATTTACACCTTCTTCTTCCGGGTTGCGGATCGGTCAGTAGCTTTATGTGGGGGGCGATGAAAGAGGAAGGACCATTTTAAACATAAAATAATGTAAAACCAACATATGATGATTAGATAACAAAATGCAATTCATCATATGTATATTTACTTCTAATGCCCATTCATCCAAATAAATCACATCGCAGTGATTTTGAAATGCAGCACATACTAAAATATCTAAATATGTTACACACAAACCAACAAACACATCTACTACTTACCTCACAAAAAAATTCATTACCGCGTAGACCACAAAACCAAGTAACCCAAGACACTTCTTCAGAGCTGCTCATTTTTCTGAAAAAGCCGAAAAGTAGTTTGTTAATAATAAATATTTCTAAAAATAAAGGATATCAAACAAAATTCCTTGAACTGGAAAATACCAAACTATGTTTATGTGGCCTTTGCCACACACTACGCTGCCTTTTTAGTAAATTAAAGAGCAAAAGAAAATTTCCTTCACAATTTCAGTAAAAAAAGCAAAAGGAAATTGCCGTCAACGTCAGAGCACGAAGTCACGTAAACCAAAGTCGGCGTTAAACCGCCGTCGATTAACAAAAATGCATTGCTTTCATATTAAATCAAACTCTAGAACAATTTTTACAACTGTATTTAAACATTTTTAGTTTTTTCTTAATATTTTGTTCTTTTTTGTGGTTTAAAAAGACTAGCCACAACCGTAACTATCGTCATTAAGCTAAAATAATTGTCACGCCCGCGCCGTTAACAGCGCAACATCGGCTTCGATTTTCATTACAACACAAACTCACATTTGGAATTATATTTTTAGATAGTATTAACTTTCCAATAAATTAAACTAGCTAAATGCCAGAAGAAAATCATAAAATTGCTTTTCACTTGACAGTACACCAGTATCCACTTGTCTTATTAATTTTTTTAACATAAATTGATTGTGATTTTTTAAACAAAAATTTACACACTCATCACTTTCTTTTATTAGTTTAGTGTGGAAAAAAGGGAAATTATCGTTTTTACTCTTCTTTGTGTGTCCGCCGTGTTTGTTAATATTATTCCACCGACAAAATTGTCAAAAAAAAGTTATAATTCATTCCTTTTGTGGATGTCGTTTATTGCCATTTACACTTTGTTGCATCATTCCTTGTTGCAATCGTCTATATATTTGTACCTTTTACTCATATTATATTCATATTGTTTGGTCGCATGTGCGGATATTTTTCAGTGTCGGCATCCCTTTCTTCTTCTTCTTTTTTCTTTCTATTTTCTTTTATTTCTTTCTGTTTGAAACTCATCGACGGACAAAATGTATGTTTTTCAATAAATTTTAACACATATTTTACAATTATTCATCACAATTCGCTTTGAAGCATTTAGCGCCACATTTGGGCTATATTTTTTCTTTGACATTTTGCTCTTTAACTGCACTTAAACTTTTCACAATCCGGTAAAACTTACCTTTATCAAACCACACGACCACGTTTAGAAGCGATCAAATATTTTTTACAATGATGTATGAAAGAATGACAGCGAAAATGTTAGGGATAAATAAGTCGATATTTGATGTAGTGGGATATGATAGGGATGTGTAAATCGATTTTGTACTGCGAGAAAGACGATAATTGGATATAAACATTTATAGTTTGTTTACATTACACTTTAACGCTATTAGCCTCATTAACACCCTGTTTTTGTAACATTATTTTGTCCTTTCGTTTAGAATTTTATCGAAAGAAAATACATTTTGGGTTTTGTAGTGAATGTTTTTTCTGTGAGTGGCAAAAACTTTTTTCCCCTTGTATTTTGGTTTTTATAACGAAAAAATACAAACGAAAATGTCAAAGAAAACGATAGGAGGAGGACCTTCGTTTTAACGAGAAATTGGCCCTTTGTTACAGAATCATGCAAAAATTAAATGCGTATGATAGGGAATTAATATATGAACTATTTCAAAACACCAAGATTTTATTGGCGCACCTTGCTGGTACATATTCTTGAAATGTTTTCTCGACATTTTTATTTTACAATTTTTTTTTTTAATAAATTTTGAGTTTATTGGGTTTGCCACAACCAGCACAACTCCTAATGAAATTAAATAAAATTAAAAAAAAAAGGTTATGGAAACACTGATATGTCAACACTTTTCGAAAATGGACTAGAGCTTTCAAAATATTTATAAAAACCCACTTTAAAATGAATAGGTTTGAACACGAACGATTCGAGTGAAAGCCACTTTTTTTTTGCAAAAACAGACTGTAAGTCCTAATTAGCCACATTCAGTTCCAAATACACGTGTTGTAACCAACTTGTCTGCAATTCTCTGTCAAATTTCCAAGGGAATTTCATATTAGTAAGAAATTATGGCTCTGTTCCACTTTAGAACCATGATACAAAAAGGAGGTAGAACCATGGTACAATAAAAAGGTAATGTAGAGCTCCCAGCTGATTACAATTTCTTTCTAAGTGTGCCCGACTTCTGGCAATTTTGTGTATGTATTTATTGTTTTGGAAAATAATAACAAAATATTTTCAAAATCAATGATTGGAAGAAACTTAAATTGCGGGGCGCGCATTAATAATTTTAACGAAATTTGCCATGGAATTGAAAGATTGAACACTTATATTTTTTTGAGAGAAGTTCCAGGCATTTCATTCATCTTTCGCTCTAACCCATGGTACAATGAAATAAAGGTAAACTCATTTCAAATAAGTCTTCCCAGCTCTGCATTTTCTGCAATTTGCCTTATCAAATTTCACTGTTTAAAAAACAGTACTCATCTCTGATTTTGAACACAGATTTTGTTTTATACACCGAATATTTTTTTGGTAAAATGGTTGTAAATTGGCAATTCAAGGGTCAAAATTAACGTAAAATGCCTATTAGTGGTGCGCATTATGTTTAACAGCGACAAGATTATTTTTTAAAAAAAAAATATTAACTGACCTTTTAAGACAGAGGTCTGAACGAAAATATTAACCTTATCAGCAAACTGTGTGGCCACGGTTTGATAGTTTATGCATTTATTTCCACTCCTTAGAGCGACCAAAGCCTCAGTAAGAAAGGGTGCTTTCTTCAAAAAACTGGGAAAATGCAACTCTGTCAAATAGACATTTAAATATGCAAGAATTGGTTTTGTTTATTTTACATTTTCTTATAAATTCTTATATTGGGGTAGAACAGCAAACCATGATTGGAATGTTGGTATTTTTCCCAATATACAATTTGTTATGCAGTATTGCATTTTTCTTACAACTGAATTTGAAATCAATTCAAATCATTTAATTTTTTAATTCAAAACAGTACACACGCCAAAAGAAAAATTGTATTTAGAAGGCAGCTTCGTTCCATGGCAGAGTAAGGAGGTAAGAAAGCTTCGCAAAGCTTCAAAAATACAACCTTAGGCTATGCTCGCATCCTGTCTGAACCACTCAAAATTATATAAAGTTGTTTTCATTTTTTGTTTCATATTTTTCCTCATCGCGATAAATGAAGGAAATACCTGGAGTTTCTTTCAAAAATATGATCCAAACTGTTCAATCTTTCAATTCCATCCTAAAACTGAAAAATATATTTAATAATCTCTCTGCAATGTACGCATCTTCCAATGATTGATTTTGAAAATATTTTGTTTTTATTTTTCAAGACAGTCTATACATACACAAAAATGGCAGAAGTCGAGCACACATAAAAAAAATTAATCAGCTGGTAGCTCCTCTACCTTTGTACCATGGTTTGTGCTACCTTGTGTAATTGTGTCATGGAAAGACCTAAACCCTTACGCGTTTGAATTATGTCGAACTGCAATATACGTCTGGGCAATAATTAATCAAAAGTCGAATTATATACCCCTAACATTATATTTTGACAGTCAAAAGTAAACACGAGCACGTTGGTTGGATCTCAGCCCCACAAACTCGATTCAAAAACGAATATTTAGTTATTTGATTAAGCTAATTCTATAAAATGGGCGAGGATGAAGTAGGTACCAAAAAGAAAGGAAATAAACGCTATTTCCAGGAAGTCGTTGATGAATCAGAAGTAAAAAAGATAAAACACAGACCGAAAATAAAACAAGAATTTAAAGGAGAAATAATTAAAGTGGAACAAAACGTACAAAAACCATTGAAACCTCATTTGAAGCGTAAGAAGGGCTATCAGAAGTACGAAGACAAGCGACCAAATATTCCAAAACACATTCTCGATAAATATAACAGAGGTGAGAATGTGGAGGTGGACGGAATTAAAACCAAATACTTTAAGGAAAAGCAACAACGCAAAGAGGTTTATTTGGAATATGCCACTGAACAGGCTGCGAGAACAGAACTGTTGCTGACCGAACAGCAAGGTTTCATAGAGGCAGATGAAGGCGAAGTCACTGCAGAATATCGCCAGGAAGAGATAGCCGCAAATGTGGATATACAGTCGGCCTCGAAATTATTCAAATTGAATTTGGAATTCGGTCCATATAGTATGAGGTATTCAAGGAACGGAAGACATTTGCTGTTGGGCGGCCGCAAAGGCCATGTCAGCTCCTTCGATTGGGTTACCAAGAAAATGCATTGTGAAATGAATGTTATGGAGGAAGTAGCCGATGTTAGCTATCTACATGTTCACACCATGTTTGCTTGTGCCCAAAAGGATCATGTGTATATTTATGATAATCAGGGTACCGAACTACATTGCATTAAGCGGATGTATCGCGTAAATCGCATGGAATTCCTGCCATATCATTTTCTACTGGCCACGGGAAACAAAGATGGTTATCTGTCTTGGCTGGATGTATCCATTGGTGAATTGGTGGGAAATTATGGTACAAAATTGGGTGAAATACGTATAATGAGACAAAATCCCAGTAATGGAGTACTCTGTCTTGGTGGTGGCAAGGGTGTGGTATCGATGTGGTCACCCAAGGTAAGAGAACCATTGGCAAAACTGCTTTGCCATCCAACTCCCTTGTCGGCACTAACTGTTGATCACAAGGGTCAACATTTGATAACAGCCGGTCTGGATCGCAAGGTAAAGGTTTGGGATATTAGATCTCTAAACGGCCCTCTGGCCAAATATAAATTACGCTTGCCGGCAAGTCAAGTGGAAGTATCACAAAAAGGGGTCTTGGCTATATGCCAAGGTAATTATTGTGAGCTTTATCATAATCTAATAATGGGAGAGAATGCAAGCCGTCCTTATCTACGCCAACATTGTGGTTCCTTTGTCCATGGCATGCGTTTCTGTCCGTACGAAGATATTTTGGGTGTCTCCACAGCCAATGGCTTCCAATCACTGCTCGTTCCTGGATCTGGAGAGCCTAATTATGACGCTCTTGAAGATAATCCAATGCAGACTAAATCTCAACGTCGTGAACATGAAGTCCATTCACTGCTGGAGAAGATACCTGCTGAGCTTATTACGTTGGATCCCAACGAAATTGCCACAGTCGATGAACCCACGCTCCAGGAGAAGATTGATGCCAAGCGGGCTATATTCTTCTTGAAACCACCAGAAGTTCAAATGAATTCGAGGCGCAAAATGAAAGGCAAAGGAGGCAGTGCAAATGCGGCACGTAACAAACAAATTGTTAAAGATCAGAAAAGAAAGGTATGTCAATTTCTAGCTTTCTCTGTGTATTTGTATTAATGTGTGTTGACCTTCTCAATCTTAGGAATTCATTGCGGATGTGCGTGAAGCGAAGAAGAAAATTATTGAGGCCCATAAAGTGGATGAGAGTGGTGAAGATTTTATACCATTAGAAGAGACAAAACAAAGTGTTTTGGATCGCTTCAAACCCAAGAACCTTAAAAGAAAAGCATAGTTTGTTGTTTTAGAAATAAGTTCTATTCTTTTATAGAAAATAAAATATAAAATAGAAATAGAAATATTAAGCTAACGTTAATATATATTTACAATATCCAGAGATACGTTTATCTGTTATACTTGATTCAGCAGTGTCAATTATTTTTGTCAATTCCGAGGCATTAACGCGGTCTTGTGGATGAGTCCAGTAGAACAAATTCATTATATGTTTTTTGCCTTCCAGAACATTGGGTGCACCTGTCACTTGAATATTTTGCAAATGTTCGACCACTTTAGGCAGGATATTCCTTAGCGCATCAAGAAATACTTGATTTTGTTGTTTGCCCAATTTACTCATTGCCACCAAACAGGCCAAATTAACAGTTGGCCTTAAAAGCAAATTGGGTAGGAATTTCAAAAATTCGGAAAATTCCTCAGCTCCATAGACATTGCATAGCTCATGACTTTGGACAATTTCACAAAGTATGATTAGGATTTTTGATGAAATTTCACCAAACCTATTTTCCAAAAATGCTTTAATGCAGCTGCGTAGGAGTTTGGTGGTTGATTCCTTATGTAGGTGACACAGATGCTGGCCACTCTGCAAAAGCAAGGCACGTATTGCTTTTACCAACGATGGTAAATAATCTTGCGAACCCTTGTTACTCATGGAGGAGTCCAGTATGCTACTCAAATAGTTTAGAACTGCATTAAATCTTGATGATTCCTGTCCCAAGGCATTGGCATAAAAGCGGCACATCAGAAAGCCAATTGTAATGTTTTGTTGCAGACAATAGGGTGACAGGCTGGTAGGTGATTTTTTCGGTTTCTTTTTTGAATTAGTATTATCTAAAAGGAAGTTAGAGATATATTATTAAAGATCTTTATAAATCATTTGCCTATATTACCTTCATCTACATTGAATTGCTGATAAGGATAGGAACTTTGCAAGAAATTTGCCGCAAATACATCGGCATACTGATCTTTGAACCACAAACTTAAATCATTGTTGTTTACTTGTTCTTCATAGATTTCAATGAGGGACCACAGATTTTCAATGATTTCCAAAACAATTTTCAGAGTTAGGCTAGCATCAAGGGTCAATAAGGTCTCTACACTACATGATGTGGTTTGTTGGGGTCGTACTTCTAGCCATGATTCCAACAACAATGGCATTAAATGATCCACATAGGAACGTAATTGTTCAAATTCATCCACAGCTGCATCATCGTTTGAGGTGGCTGAACTACCCACAGAGCGATTGAATATGTGGGATAAATCACAATATTGATTGGCCGCAAAGCGACGTTTAATTCCATAATATTGTGCTGTTTTAGTGCTGTGCGTTATCAAACCGTCACTTGTGTTGCTACCACTTAAAATCCCTTCTTGCCTCTGCTGAAGTTTATATTCGGCCAGTGTCTCGAGCATTTGCTGCAAACGCAACAACACCTTGGAACGCCATTTTATGGTTGTTTGTTTCTGTCCCATATTCACGGTCAACATTCTTCCGGCCTTATCGCCTTCAGCTCGAACTCGTGAAATCATTTCCAAAAAATTATGAAGAATTTTAGCACTATGACTTGCCACCAAAGTGGGTATGTGGTGCAACAAAACATCTAACAGCAGTAAGGAATCTTCTTGTATATTCGGCTGGATATGGGTCATGGCACAACGTAGATAAGACGAAATTATGTGGAAAAATGGTGCTACAGCATCCTTGGGCAAAAATGCCAATAGGGCCCCGAAGGTCTTACATGCCTCGCGCCGAGCATCACGATCTTGATCTAAACATACGGCAGATATTCCCTGAATGAGTTCATTCAAACTTCCCATAATTCCAGAATGACCCAGGGCAATGGCATCCCGTAGATTCTTTAATGCTTCACTGCGAAAATTGGAACTGTGATGTTTCAGCTTGGAGAGACATTCTTTAAGATTCACCTGTTTTATGCCATCCACAAACTGGGCTTCTTTCAGTTGTTCTCTAATGGTGATTTTTCGCACTTTGAATTCGGTTTTGGTGACATTTAACCCTTTGGGCAATTTGGCGCCTTTTAGTTTAACTTTGGCTTTTTCAGCACGTAACTTCTTTTTATGTGTTCCACCCATATTTTTTGGAAGATTTTACAAAGAAGAATTAAACAAGGGAAGACGTTGGAAATCTACCAACGTGCGTGCTCGTGTTTACTATTGGCTGTCAAAATTTAAGTTAGGGACATCGAATTCGACTTTTGATTAAAAAAGCGTTTAGCTAAATATGAGCTGTGTCTGATTATTTTTCAAATGAGATTTATTCAGTAAGTCATAATATTGATTAATCATATGAAATAACGGTCATGGAATTGCGGAGCTTAGGGCAAAGGGAGCCTCTTTTAAATACAATTCATACTTTTATGACAATTTAGTTTAATATATTTTATGCAATGGTATATAAATAAGCCAACATGGTCAATAGTTTCTGTTAAGCGGCCCATAGACCACACAAATTTTTGTGCAAACCGCTTATGTGTGTTAGTGAAATAAGGTTGTATGTGTCACACGTACGAGTTTGTGCAAATCGATCTGAAAAATCAAAACCATTTAGATTTTTCGGCTTGTTTGCGCAAATGTTTGTGTGGTGTGTGGTCGTTTGCACTAAATCTGTTCAGTTCGTGATAAACAGTCAAGCATTACACAACAAAAGAAGAAAAAGAATAGAAGTTAATTTTTGACTTGCCGACGGCAATAGCTGCGTTCTCAAACATTTTTCCGAATGACTTCACTCGCTGAGTACTTACTTCGAATGACATTTGTGCAAACGTTTGCAACGTGTGTGTGCTAAATACGTGTGAATTTGCGCAAATAATTTGTGTGGTCTATTTGCCGCTTTAACTTACAACAATAGGTTCGATCCAGAACCGCAGGAATGTAAAAATATGACTGTTTTGATGTTTGCTCTGTTCCAGAAATTGCACTGAGATTCGCCTTGGAAAACATTGTTTTATAAAAAAACTGCAAAAAAATCAAACACCATAATTTTTACATTTTTTTTAAATTTAATTAAATGAAAGCAGAAAATGTCGGAAATATCATCAAATTTTAGAATAAGTTTAGTTTGGTTCGAATTGGTCACCTTTGACACGAATTATGATCCACAATCGGCCAATGAAACCGTCACACGCTCCCCAAATGTTGCTCTGCTGTATTTTGGCCCATTCCCGGCGAATCGCTTGCTTGAGGTGATCGACTCTTTGGTATTTTTAGTGCCAACCTTGCTTTCCAAAATACTCCGGACCCCATAGTCCAACGGATTGGTATCCGAAGATTTTGGTGGCCTCGTGTGCTGGAAATGAAGCGAGAAACCTCATTTTGTAACCATTCTTGGGTGGCGCCTGCTGAGTGTGATGTGTGCTGAGTCCTGTTGGAATGTCCAAGGTCTGCGGCCAAAATATTTGCGTGCCCAAGGATTTATTACACCTTTCAGAATATTTTCACGATAATATTCGGCATTTATTCTGATGCCACGGTCGATTAATACGAGCGGAGATCGACCATCATCAAGGCCGGCGCTTGAATTCTGGTGGCCAACCCATGGTAGAAGAATATAGGTAGACGCGTCGATGCAGCTGCTGGGACAATGAACTGTCAAACTAATTTTGGAATTGAAAATGTTGAATGAAAAATTATTTAAATTGGTAAAAATTTTTGAAAAACGCATATTATAATAGCCTCCGAATAACGAAGTATAAGAAAACATATAAAAAACTACCTATATTTGAATAAACATTTAAATTTTTTTGACATATCAATGCTCCCAAGCGGTGATGCATCTACCTGTATTCTTCTGCCATGTGGCCAACCGAAGGTGCACATTGCTGGCCTCTTTGGCAAGCAAACATGGTCATCTTATTTGTTTACAAACAGCTGGACAACGAATGTTTTCTGATCGGTGAAAACCAAATTCGGCAGTTCACCACTATCGGCCAAGCGAAGCAACTCTTGGCTCTTTTGAGTATATTTCCTTTCTGTTGCGGTGTAGGTTCTTGCACATTTTGGAATTTCAGTGGCTTTAACCCGAGCTCATTTTTTCAATATTTGCCGATTGGAATATTTCGATATTTTCAGCTCACGAGCAATTTTTCGGCCACTGCGCCTCGGATTTGCATCAAGTCGCTTCTTTACTTTTCGAACCATTTCTGCTGATGTTGCTGTTTTCTTCCGTCCACTTCCTTGACGTCGGGCTAGGCTACCAGTAACACGTACGAGACACAAAAGATTTATTCACATTTAAATGCTGGAATGCATATACGATAGTCACTTGTGGTTTTCCAGTCAAATATAAAGAAATCACACTATCACGCTTGAATTCCATCACGAAAAACTTTGTTCCCGGAAAATTCTCACCAAAATGCTTTTGTACTCTTGTAAACAATATAATGAGCTGTCACTGGACTAATTTTAACAGCTGTCGGACAAGTTGCCTAGAAATGACAGCCGTCATAAGTTGGTTGCAGTTTTTTCATCTCACTCTGTACATCTTTTATTCAAGACAATTTATCTTGTGTAAATGCTAGGTTAGAAACCGTATCACACAAATTTCTTCAGTTCCTGTCGGTGAACATATTTTTTTGATCCCAGTTCCTTTCTCAACGACATAACACTGGCGGAGCGGATTCCGCTGTGTGGAATTAAATATATTATTTAAATATTTAGTATATAAAACAATATAGAATCAATCAATAACAAACAAAGAAATGTTACGAAATCAACAAACAATCTGTAAATGTATTTCCAAGACCATAAACGACCAAAAGAGATGGCTCCGGCTACAGAATGGAGCACTACACAACAAAAGTACCAGCAATGTCTTCAAACAGGGAAAAATCATGGGTAAACTGTTTGGTAATCGTGTCCAGGGTAGCAAGAAACGATGGATTCCAATTGCCGATGCATCAGCCTCGTCGAATGTAGTATTTAAGCAATCACCTTTTGGGGGAAAGACAACGAATACAGGCAATGGAAAGAATGATTCTCGCCGCATGACAGTTTTGAATAAATTGTTTATGAAACATATAACTGATCTATTGGCCACGGGAGAGATTTCAGAAAAAATCCTAGGAAAAGGTTTGCAGGTGTCACGTGTAAAAATCTCCCAAGATTTTGCCTATGTTAATGTATTTTGGGTAACTACTGGAGATGTGGCAAAGGATGCTCTATTGGAACAGGAACTTCTGCACTGTACTGGTCTGTTGAGACATGAGCTATCACAGTTGGGTTTGATGGGTGTGGTACCACGCATTAAATTTGTAAAAGATAAAATCATGTCGAATATAGTTCAAGTAGAGTCATTATTGAAAAATATGGATTTTGGTCCGGAGGATGAAAACAAGGAAGAGTTAGAGGATTATGTAAAAAATGCCACAGATGTTGTTAAAAATGAATTCTATGGCAATAAAGTGACGACAGCCAATGCAGAAACAACCATTCAGCAGCACTCAGGAGAAGACATCACAGCAATACCCCCAGTATTAGGTGCAAAACTGCCAGAAATGCGTCACGATGTCCTGGGTCTGGATCATAAAGGTATTATGCTTAAGATTCTAACAAAAATGCGCAAATCTAAACAAGCCTGGGAACAACATCAATCGGCTAATAGCATTCCACCAAGTGAAGCAGAGGTGGTGGTTACCTCGACACCACCCTCTGAGAGTCAACTGAATAGAATACAAAATAAACTAGCCAAAGCTGCCGAGAATTCCGAAAAATTTGAAGCATTCTTAGCCAAAAGACGAGAACGTAAGAGTACTCCGGAACGTAAAAAGTATCGTATGGTAGATCACATGATTGATGGTTACAGTGAAGACATGAAGGAATATGAGTTTATGTCTCATCGCCAGAGACAACTTTACGAAGCTGAAGATTACCTTCATGATGAAGTCGAGGATGAAAAGAAGACATAGGCAATTTGATAGATTAATAATTGTTTTTGTTATTAGAACCAAAGTTAAATTAAAGAAAAAATAACATTAATTAGTACTTACATAAAAATAAAAAAAGAGTATCAACAATTTGAAATTGTTGGAAAATTAAAATGAATAACTTTTTTGCGTTTTACTCCAGATAGTTTTATGAAAGTCATTCCACTAAGCATTGCCCACAACCAATGAAACTCTAACCTCAACGTTTGCTGATGATACTGCTTTCATTAGCATAGACAAGGATCCTCTGATTGCGTCGGAAAAACTACAATACCATGTATATCTTCTCGAAAATTGGCTGACAAAATGGACAATATCGGTAAATGCAAGCAAGTGCATACATGTTACTTTTGCTCTAAGACGTGAACTTTGCCCCACGATAAAAATCTTTAATACTCAAGTTCCACAGAAAGATACCGTAAAATATCTCGGAATGCACCTGGACCGAAGACTTACATGGAAGCAACACATCGATGCAAAAATCACACAAATTAAACTAAAAAAGGCCAATCTTGAGTGGTTAATTGGTATACGTTCTTCTATTAAATTAGAATATAAAGTCCTATTATATAAGACTATAATAAAGAAAATTTGGACGTACGGCATACAGCTCTGGGGCACAGCTAGTGCCTCTACAAAGAAGACAGTCGAATATTCTTCGATCTATTACAGGTGCACCATGGTACATAAGGAACGCAAACATCCACAAGGACCTAAATATACTTACTGTTGAAGAAGAAATAAAGAAGCTTTGCCGCAAGTACTTAAACAAACTATCCGAGCACCCAAATAACTTGGCCCGCCAACTCCTACTATTCGGAGGACACGATAGACTGCGCAGACGTGACACTCATTCTATCATATAGTTTTTTTTTTTTGTTGTCTTACGCTCTCATTATTTTCAGCTCTTGTCTGGCCAATTGAACGTCGCCCACTGTTATACTTCTACAGGTAGTAGTATGCTAAATTGGAAGCTGCTTCTGTGAAGAAATCGAAAAGACTATTACTGTAGTCCGCGGGAAGATTAGTGAAGAAATCGATAAGACTATTACTGTAGTCCGCGGGATGATTAGATATAACTGTATCTAAACAAAGCAACATTATATCCGTAAGACTATTTCTGTAGTCCGCGATTCACTTAGATATATCTGTATCTAAACTAATCTTAACTACCTACTCAATCAATTCACGGATATAACTGTATCCACAAGCCCACAAAATAACACACATCTATATCATAAAAAAAAACAATAATAATTAAAGCATGAAAAAAATATGGGGTGATTGTATTGACAACCTCCCTATAAAAATATTAGTATATAAGATATGAAACCTTATTGTTATTTTCATTAAATATATCGTCATATGAAATCAAAAAAGGCGTAACTTACATTTCAAAAATTTTAGAGGAGAAGCAAAAAACTTCCGAAAATGGATAATACACAAAATTGTTTCAAAATTTTTGTAGGTTAAGCTTAGTTGTCACTATCGAATTAGTACTTGAAGAAAAAATTTGAATTTTTGTATTATTTGCAGAGCTATGAAACTTACGCCTTTTGAGGATTAGATTTTCTGAATCCGAAAAGGGCGTAAGTTACAATAAAAACAATTTAGCTACGATGTAGGAAGTGTTTTCCAATGTTCTTCATTAATTAGATTCACTATTTTATTTTGTTTTTTATTAACATACTTATAGTAAACAAAAAACATAAAAAGTAATTCAGCAAAAAAAAAACAACATTTAAAGTAAAAAGATTTCATATCATAAATAGATAAAAATTAGAATATAGTATAGGATAGTGTTTGATTGCTAAATTTCATAGGGCAAATTTGTATAAAAATCATGGCAATCTTCTGGTATGAAGGATTTAAGATCCTGGAGATGTTCCCACTTTTTTTTAGAAATTTTTAGTCTCTGAGAATGTAATGGAGCAGGTTCGTTTTTATAAGTATCTTTTTCTTTTCGGTTTGGAAGAATTGCATATTCCTCTTTAATGTTTGTTTTAAAGTAAATAGTTCCAGACGTATCGTATCCCAATGCTCGAATCATGTTAACGGTGGGATCTCCAGCTTTTTTTCCTGTAAAATATTTTTGATTGTATTAACAGGTCATAAATATTTATTATCACAATTTTACCTGGACGAATGGAAGAGTAAAGCTTAGGAACAGAATCATAATCCAGAAAATATGAATGGGTAAGATGATGGGTGTTGAGTGGAAATGGAGACTTACGGGAATCGTTTACATATTCAACGAATTGAGAAGGAAGATTAATTTTTTTATTGTTTATTTTTCTTTGGATTATCGAATGAGTTGAATCACATTCCATTTGGGTGTGTCCAACTATTAAATATTTTTGCTCAATTGTTAGGTTTTTTTCAATACACAGGGATAGTAATGCGTTTGACAATATGATATTGCGGTTTTGATAAAAGCATCCATCCGAATATATTATAATATGGTTAATATCTGGTGACTGAAGTATACATTTTTTTAAGTGTTTTATAATACATGTTGTGAAAGTAGACGCTACCAAATTCCCTTCAGATTCATCCCAGATATAATTGTCAGATTCATGGCTGATGATATTATAAATAGTAAAGTTGTGTACCTGCAATTTCATTTTATAATATGAAGCACTTGCGTTTGTTTGAGGAATCAATTTTACGGCTTGCATATCCATGCATAATAATAAGCAAAGACCAGACTTTGCATTTTCGATATCGTTTGCTTTTTCATCTCGCATTTCATCAACTTCTAATCTATGACTGATATATTGATCCTCAGTTATGTTTCTTGCCTCATATGATACACAAGTATTACACATGTCATTCCTTGGTTTAAATAATGTAATATTTTGTTCTTTTACTGTAAGCATAAACTTTGGATACGATACTGCAGAAACTTCATCATCGCTATTTTTAATGCATTCTTCACAATATAATTTATAAATTTGGCTGTATGATCTTAAATCTGTTTGCAAATAAAGTTTCTTGGTGTACTGCCTTCGGTAATGGGATTCAAGTTTCGGAATATCATTTAACCAATTTTTTAAAAAGTTATGACGCTTCTCGTATTTTTTATCTTTAATCGAGGTATTTCTTCTCGGAATAGCTAAATCCGGTTGTTCCCTGTTTAAAAAGATTTCATCTACCCAATTTCTTACAGTTTTTTCAGTTATTCCAAGAGTTGACGTAAACATTTTCTGGCAGACTTGGATACGTGTTGTCTTAGCTTGCAAATAATAACGTTTGGAAAGCGATCGCCTTGAAATAATGTTCTCATTACGTGCTTTTTCAGAAACGACCACGTGACTTCTTACATACACCTTTTTTTCTCCCCACGTCATATTCCAAAATCGATCAAATATTTGTTGGCGTATATTTTCAGCAAAGTGGGAGCAATGACGCAATGAGCTCTTTTCACAAAATTTAGATTGACATATTTTTCCCATTATTCGAGGATTTTTTACACACACAATTCCTTTATTGAGGCCTGTATACATTTTACCAGTCATTCGGTCTTTAGCATTTAAATGTTTTTGATTTGTTTTTCTGTCCTTAACTAACATATTTAAATTTGTTTCAATTTCCATATTAAATTAATGCACTTTAATCGAGATTTTTTATTTAACTTTGAAAAAGCAAGCAGTTGCTTTATGAAATAGTTTTTATTAGAAACACAATGAAAGAAAGACTAACTGCTAACCAAAAATGCAGAAATACCAAAAACAGAAAGATCTCTAATACAAAAACAATAAAACAAAAACTAACTGTTTTTAAAAACCCATGGCATGCTTCTCTTCTTTTGTCTGTTTCTTTTCTATTCTATTTCTTCACTTGCGGTAGTTATTTTTTTTAAAAAGGCGTAAGTTACCTGTTTGGTTTATGAAATGTTTGCGCTTGCAGTTACGGCTTTTAGAATTTTGTTAATAAAATGTTCGTTTTTAGTCGTACGACTGTAAAACTTAGCAGGTACGTGTATTTTGATGCATTACATAGTAATCAATCAAAAAGTCGATTTTGAATTTTTTGTAACTTACGCCTTTTTTGATTTCATATGACGATATGAAAGATTCAATAAATTAAACAATAAAAAAAAAAAACTAAGCATTGATCGATTGTCACCAACTTTATGGCACGTTTCTGTTAGGAAATTTGCTTTGTTACTGCGCATGTAGCCCTAGGATAGGCTTCTATCACATGTCTTCTTAATTATTTTTGTAGGTTTCATGGCTCGTAGGGCTGTTGCAGACTTAATATTCCCCGATATTTGTGAAAAGACCTCAGTCAGTTTTGCTGCAATGATACTGGTAGCGTAGCCCGACTTCAAGGAAGTGGACGAAAGAAAACAGAAACAGCAACATCAGCAGAAATGGTTCGAAAAGTAAGGAAGCGGCTTGATCGAAACCAGCGTCGCAGAGGCCGAAAAATGGCTCGTGAGCTGAACATATCGCAATATTCAATTCGGCAAATTTTGAAATATGAGCTCGGGGTAAAGCCATTGAATTTCCAAAAAGTGCAAGAACTTAAACCGCAACAGAAAGAAAATACTCTCAAAAGAGCTAAAGAGTTGCTTCGCTTGGCCAAAAGTGGTGAACTGCCGAATTTGGTTTTCTCCGATGAGAAAACATTTGTTGTCCAGCAGTTTGTAAACAAACAAAATGATCGTGTTTACTTGCCAAAAAGGTCAGCTGAAAGTGTTCACCTTCGGTTGGCCACCAGAACTCAAGCGCCGCCCATGGTGATGGTGTGGACCGCCATAACAGCCGATGGTCGATCTCCGCTCGTATTTATCGACGTGGCATCAGAATAAATGCCGAATATTACCGCGAAGTAGCGGGTCCACTCCTTCTGGTACCTCCCCCACAATATTTTCAAAAAATATAAATATTTCCTGCATGGAAAGAGAAGCAATAATCCGATTTGGCTCCAACTTTGCAAATTCTAATATTTGCCACAGTTCTCGGTCAGGTAATGGGTAATATCGGTCCACTCCATTTTGAATAATTATAACTCTTATAAAATGTGATGTAAGAATCCGATGGCCTTAAAATGTCACACATCCCAATATTTTTATAAACTCAAGATCTGATGTTAAGATGGAATATATCGGTCAAC